GAATCACTGAAACAGATTTAAGATCTATCATACAGTAGTTAAATGCCGTATCACAAGGCTTACTGGAAATGGGCAAAACCTTAAGAGGTGTTCAAGTAATGGTGAAGAACAGACCCATCCTGAAAAACGCAATCATCAGAGGGTTAGCTCAACTATGAAAGTCACGGAGAGAACCGAAGACTGATTTGCTAGTATCTGACTTACTAAGAGAAGACATAATGCAGACTACCACTAATGGTAATCTGAACGCTGGCCCAAAGCCTTGGTGTGGGTGTTGGAAGATCTTCTCAGGACGGTGCTGAGTAAAGACTCTCCCATGGGAATTTTTCTTCCACCAACTCTATCTTCTGTGCATGTAAGTAAAAAGCAACACTGGCTAAGGATATGGTTCTTGGTTGCTCCTGGTTAGATGCAGCTCTTAAGGATTGAGGTGTCTACTTCCCTTTGTACTAGGCCACCATCTTCCCAAACAGGCATTCTTTCTGTGCTCCTGCGGACAGTCTCTGAAACTGAAGGTTACATTCATCTTTCTGAAAATCCTCAATTAAAAAAAAAAAAAAAAAAAAATCTGCCAGAAATACCAGTACTGTTACAGCAAGAATCAATGTTTAAAGGAGGGGGAGAGGAAATGCCATCTTTTTAAAAACCTGAAGGAAACAAATAAATCTATTTTTACTGGCCTGATGTAATTCAGTGCTACTTACCAGCTAGTGGACTCATGTTTTCCCTGTCTTCACAGTGACCTTGACTTTGATCATTCCTTGTGCATTTGTAACTATTACTATGCCAACAGTCCACCACTTTAGTTCAAACAACAATACTTAATGTGCTGCCTGAAAACCTAGTTTTCTGCAGATGTGAAGTTGCCCAAAATTGGGGTGAGGGGCAATTATATAAAATTTTAACTACAGTAGCTGAAATGTATGAGAAACAAATATATTTATTTGTTCAATTCAGTGTTATCATTGCACAGTGAGAGCTGTGAAATGTATCCTGTTTCAGTTAAAGGAAATGAGACTCTGCCCTTTGACTTTGAGTGAGGGTGGATGGGGCCCTGAATCTGAAACAGTGAATCAGTTTTGAAAAGATGCTGTAAGACTTTTGTTTGAATGAACTTATATATGTTGAGAAGGCTGCTGTGTTCTCATGTAGCAATGAAATTATGCAGAATGTGCACCATGTAAAAAAGCTTATATTTTATTAATGAGTCTGTTAATGCTAATGTAGCTTATTTTTGTAGCCAGCAAATAATTTTAACTTTAATTTTCCTATTTCAGGACAAGAGAAATGGAATGCCTCTGTTGCTCCAAAACGTGCATTTGATAAGGATTATTTGGCTCACAGAAAATACTGCCTACTGGGAATGCAAAAATCCAAATTTTGTCTTTTTCAACCATGGGTGCTTGCTTTTATACATGGCACAAGGAGACAGAAACAACGACGATTTTTTTTCTTCTGGTGCTTTTTCCTACTAAAGCATCATTAACTCTTTACAAATATATAATTCCAGCCCTTGTGACTGAATGCTGTATTTCCTGACTAGCTCAATTAGTGTATTTATCCTTTCTGACTCTTGCTGGTGCCTGAGTAGAAATGTGATGGCAGTGAGCATACCTGGTGGAGTAGAATCATCTGCCACTGCCAGGCAGGACTGCATCATGAAAAGTCCCAGCAGAGAGAAGATAACTACTAACTATGCTCCTCCATCCATGAGATCCCAGGTGTAATACCAGTTGTGTCATAGTTTAGAAAAAGCTGACAAATGGAAAGGAATTTTTCTTTCCTTGACAAATTTTTAATTTTTATCTGCATTCTCTTTTTCTTATGAAGTTTTCCATTGTAAATAGTGGGTATAAATTAATCTCTCTTGTTCAAGTGCATTCATGCTAAAAGGTCCCCACCCATCTTTTAATTCTGCACCAAAAATTCTGCACTGACACGTGCTGGAGAATTGTAGTGCTGAGTCTACAGCAGCTATCACCTCACCCTCAAAACCAAGATAAGGCAAAGTAAACACAGGTGAGTTGGAAAATAGCTAGAGAAGGTTGTTTAGATAGACATGACTAGCAAGGGACATGATAAACTCTCTTATTCCCAGTTTATCAGTCGCATAAGAACCTCTTAGAGCAACAGTGCTAATATTGCCTTTCTAAAACGCAGGAAAATTATGGGTAAGAATTATACAGACAGCACAATCGGATGCTAACCAGAAGGTTAAATGAGCTCTGTGAAAGGAACTAGTGCACTTGTGCCTCTGAGAACATGAGTTTTAGAGGGTGCTGCCGTGCCCAAAGACACCATGCACAGGTCTGCAGAGTGGGTATTTTGTATCAGTGAGTGACAGTAATTTCATCAGGCTACCACGGATTACTGTCAGGGTTTTATTGCCTGAAAGGAAAGCAAATCCCAGGCACAACAGCACTGCTCTCCAGACGCTGAGGAGCATCACCTGTTTACCACTGACATCCTGAACTCTTTCTAACAATTGTCATCAGCCTACATCTGTCATCGCTGTGTGCAGGCAAAGGGGACCAAGCCAGCGAGTGTTTTGCCACTCCATGTAGAATACTGTGAGTTTTATTTGCACCTTCTCATTTTACCCTCACTCAGTTTTCCAGACATTCACAGATTTGCTTGCTTCCTTTATGAAACAGATAAAGCTCAGCAGTAACCGGCCACAAGCAGCCTTGCCAAGTCCACAGAAGCTTGTCTGTTACATCTGGTTATGGTTCAAAGATGTTTGGTTTTTTCCTCTGAAGTGCCTTCTTAAATCAACCAACTGCTCTGGAGACTAAATCTAGTCTGTGTGTCACCTGTGATCATAAACAGGAGATCTCTGCACATCTCCAAAGGTGTTTAAAGAGCACTGCAGTGAAGTTTACAACAACCACAAACAACTAGTTAGATCTATTACCTAAAATTAAAAAGTAATTTGTTTACTAAATCTGTTTTGGCAGAAGATTTTCTAACACGCCGAGTTTTGTATTACTTGTGACCTAAAAGCACTACAGTTAGTACATTACCATGCTCTTCCTTGCTAGAAGTCAGGGCCAAATTACAGGCTAATCCTGACTTGCCAAACTTTGACTCTAACAGAAGAAAGGATGAGCAGGGAGATAGCATCTTAAACAGTTAGGAGGAGTGAAAATTATATCACAGTATCCTTTTCACTGCTGGGGAGCTTCCATCACTTTTTCTAATATACTTTCAATTATAGGACTGGCTATGTCCATTCAGGTAAAATTCCCAAAGGAGACTGGTGGGATTTCATAGAAAAGAAATTAACCTAGAATTACAAGGTATAATTCTTATAATCCACCTTTTGGCATGGAGTTGAGCCAGGAAGTTAAGGATAAGCCTTTGACCAGATGTCTACTCTTCTCCCACCAGATCCTTACAGTAAGCCTCCAGCGTAGACAAAGTATCAAGATCCTGCTGTACCAGAGCCATCACTATTTCACCAGTGTAGTGCTTGATACACAGCTTATATGGCTCTGCAACTCCAATGGAATAAAACTACTTTATGAGGACAAAGAGGAGAGGATGTAATTTGGAAAATGAAAGGAAAACATATACCAAGAAAGGAATGGATGCTATTTTGTCAGGACACAGAGCAGGGTGGATGAAGCAAATACAAAACCAGGAAAAACTTTGCCTTCTGAAAGAATAAGCGAAGAGATTTTTTTATTATTATTTATTTTGCAATTTTCTGTATCTTTATTTAATTCCAAAGGCTTCATTACTGCTTAGCCCCTTCAGGACTTGGTAAACTGGCAGAAAGGATGCATTTGGTTTTTCTACTGCAGGAATAAACTCCCATCACATGAAATCTCTTACTCACAAAGGATTTTTTTTTCTCTCGTTTCCCAAGGCATCTGTCCTGGGTTGAGTGAGTGGTGAGATTTTTCGGTGGCAGTGGAGGGAGCTATAGGGGCAGCCCCCTGTGAGAAGCTTCTCGAAGCTCCCCCATCTCCAAGTCAGCTCCACTTCTGTTTGGGAAATTGAGCCAATCAGCTGCGCCTCTGCGATAACGTATTTAAGAAGGGACGTGGTGACGGGCAGTCGGACTTGGGAGGAAGAGTTGCTGCAGCTGCATGAACACCAAGGTCAGTGGAGGAACGGAGGAAGAAAGGAGGGGGGAGGAGTGCCGGAGCAGAGACCCCCCTGTATCCTGTGGTGAGACGGCAGGGCGGCCCCCCCCTGCCACCCATGGAGATCTACGGTGGAGCAGACATTGATTTATGGCCTGTGTTTTTCTCCTGGATGACCAAGGTGTCTGTGCCCGAAGAAGGCCGGGGTGTCATGGGAAAAGGCAGCCCCGCTGCTGTAATTCAGTGCTGGGAGGATTGCAGCATGCGGGGGAGTCCCACGCCGGAGCAGCTCGGGAAGGGCTGCAGCCGTGGGAGGGAATCCAGTCGGAGAAAGTTGGTGACCCATGACGGAGCAGTGTGGGGAACGCTGCGGCCTGTGGGAGGGACTCATGTCGGAGAAAGTTTGTGGATGACTGTCTCCTGTGAGAGGGGGACCACGATGGAGCAGGGGGAACAAGTTCCAGAAAGTCCCCCCACTGAAGATAAGGGAAGTGGCAGCAGTGACTGCACCCCCCATTCCCTGCCCCTGCGCCACTGGGGGAGGAGGTAGAGATATCGGGAGCAGAGCTGAGCCTGGGAAGAAGGGAGGGGTGGGGGGAAGGTGTTCTCAAGGTGCATCAATGCTTTGCACTGTCCTACTCTGTTTTGTGTTGTTAGCATCTGTAATACATGTATGTTCTTTTTTTCTTCCCCTAACGAGTCTGCCTTTTGCTCGTGACCATAAAGGGGGATTTTCTCCCCCTCCCAGTCCTATCTGGAACCCCAAGCCTGGCTCTCTGTCCCTTCCTATTGCCAGAAGAGAAAGGAGAGAGAGTGGCTGTGTGGTGGTTGGCTGCCAACCAGGCCCAAACCATGACAGCATCTTTTGAGATGATTATTAATAAATAACAGACAGTAACAAGCTAAGCAGTCTGTTATCTACTTTTCCTTTCATCAGTTGGTGAAAAATCTGCACAAACTACATACAACAGTGCCAGCAGAAGAAAACACCATTTGTTTCACTGAGACAGATGTATACTACTAAATATAGATTTTATAGAACTGTTGGTTTCTGAGTTCATAGGACTCATTTCCACTGCTTCTCAGTGGCTCTTTCTCATCCCCCATGTCACTGTCTTGCATCTGTGAAAAACAGGCAGAAGAAGTTTTGCATTCATAGTGCCTGTCAAGAGATTTCAGATGGATCAGCATATGAAGAGCATAGGCAAGAACCAGCAGCAGAATCAGCGACATAACCAATCCCATAAGTATTGCTGGAGAGAAGAAGGATGCACAGTCTTTTGCATAGGCAAAATGTCCTTCTTGAATCTTAAAACCTTGAATCTACAAAGAGAATAAAAGGACTTATATTAAATAAAGTATTTCTTGCCTTGATTACAAACAACTTAATGAATTTTCTCCTGATGCCAGCAATAATTTTTAATTTACTATCTGCTAATTGCAAAAGTGTATCTATCAGTACTAGCTGGAGTCAATGCTCAGAGTTTATCCAGGTCAGTCTTCTAGAAACCACCAGTTATTCTAATCTGCTTCACTCTGCTGCCCAAAAGGATTTGCAGTTGTGTTTTAAACAAAATCTTCTATGATCACTTTTGATAGCCCAGTCATATTTAATTGTAAGCATGGTAACCTATTCAATTTAACAGTGCATTTCCAGTATCATTTGTTGAGAATCTTAAGCCTCTGTTTCAGACTGCATAAACTTCAACGTATTAAGGAAATATTCTCATTTGCCTACCCTAATACTAGATTTTTCTCATCAGATCCAGCTATGCAGTATGTGGCAGCATATCAGCAAAAAGACATGAAGTTGCACTCAACGACAGTCAATACAAGAAAGTTTTACTTGTGGTTTCAGTTCTAACATGAAGTTTACCACAGTGGCATTCAGGGAACTGTCTACTTCACCAGATCAGTCCACTGGCATTTATCACATGGTGAGGAAAGGGGGATCAGCTTTCCCCCAAAACTCCTTTTTCAGCTTTTCATCCTCTATGACTTAGGTACCTAAAAGTAAGACATCTTAGTCCAGCCATTTTAGGCTTCCTTATTGTCAAATGCAGAAAAATCATCATTTTCAGAAGGTGATTAATCTCATCCTGAAATAAGGAATTAAGAAAAATCAGAGGCATTATCCACTGGCTTTAGAGGCAGACTGAGGTGATTATAATCAAGGCACAAGGTTAAAATTCTAGGCATCAAAAGTTAAGGGAGATGAATCCCATACTTGGTGACTGATGCTGTTACTGATGAGTCCAGCTCAGAGACATGTAACACTGAAAGTTAAATTCACTCTTCACGCTAAAGGGAAACCCAGGCAAGAGACTACTGAAAATCTATATACCCCTTCATTTCCTTTGACAGGAAGGTAAGTATAATAATATAAGTCTTCATTTCTATTCAATTTCTATTTCAAGTTCCATGGAGATCCTGTAAGCTGTACATGGAAGGTCATTATACTTTCTTGGCAGTGCAAAATTTCCCATCAGACTACCTATGGGATCCATTTGGCTTAATTCCATGACGTTACCTGGAAATCAATAAAAGTGACTTCCCAAAGCTTTGAAAGATCATTTGCAGAGCTGGGTATGAGGAGTGCATCATATCTCTGCAAGCTGCTCACATGTTCACAGTGGTAGGAGTAGCTTGCCGGTGCATATATTCTGGTTGCATTAAACGTCGCTTGTATGGAGTGGTTGTAAAGAAGTTGCAGTCTGTGTAAACCGAACCAGTTCTGAACAGACAGCTGGTAATAGCTGGCTGTTAATAAAAATCTGAAAATATTGCATGGGGAAAAAGATGAGTAAGAAAACAAGTCTAATTAAGAGTTCTAACTGTTAAATTCACGTGTTTAACAATCTTAGAAGACACACTTGTATTAACAGAGTTTCACCCATTTATAACAGTGTGAGCTCTAGTTCCTTCTGTTGAGTCTGGAAAGTTATTTGAGTTTCCTCATTGTTACATCTGAATGAATTTGCTGCTCTCTCACACAGTGAGAGGAAATGTGAGGGATTTTTCGTAAAAGACTTCAAAAAACCTATATGCAACATTGGTATCATACATTCATCCAAGATATGGAAAACTATTTATCAAGAAATGTTGTTTTCTTTGATTGCCAAGAAGCAAACATAAAGTAGGTCACAGTCTGATGTCCAAGCAGCCCACACCGTCAGTTCTTGCATCAAAATTCTCAGACAAAAATGTAGCTAACTAGTAAGGTTTAGCAAAAATCTAAGACATGGGAAGATTCTATCAAACAGATGACCTGAACTTTTCTCAAGAATAGAAAAGCCAACATAGAAGAAATGTCTTAATAAAACAATGCACACCTTGTTTGTAAAATGACAGAACTATTAAATGCAAGTGTCTTCATTATACAAACAACAGTTCTATCACATCATTTTTGCTTATATAAATTCTCCCAAAACAAATTGCACAAGCAACTGCATAACAATTAATATTAACATATAATCTTTATCATACTTACCTTTTCTTTAAACATGTAATATTTTCTTTATCATATAAACTTACCTAATAACAAGTCCCTTTAGATTGCCAATGTCACCAAACTTCAGAGAAAGCCTAGGTCAAAAAGCAAGTAACATCATGCTAGATAAAAACTTCAGAAATCTTAAGGGAAAAATGCAGCACAAAAGATTAAGCACAGTTATACTTGGAGTCTTTTGCTCAGTATATCTTTGAAATCAATAGAAAAAAAACCTAAAAGGATTAAATCTTCCTCCAGTAAAATCCAGTAGTTCAGCTGTTAATCTGAATGAGGCCTAGACTATCCAGAAAGAACAGAACTGCATGCCAACATTCAACACACTTCAATCCCACTGCTTCCAGCATTGGCTGACAGATTAATCTGATCTGTGTTCTCCTTCTCAAACCGTGGTATCTTAGTCATGAATCACTTCTGTATGTTATTAGAAAGTGTAAACCACCACATTATTCTCATCTTTTTAGGTACTAGAGCATAACAAATGCAGATGACATTTGAGTTCAAATTCCACACATGTTCATTAAGGCAATATAAATACACTGACTCTGAGGTAGCTCTACAAAGCTCATCTGCAGTGAGCACGGGCACTTGAAGTTTAATAAGGTGAAAGGCCCTAGCAGGTTAATTGTAAACTAAGGCATACTCTACCATCCTAACGTCTGCGGAATTAATGCATTGTAGCACTGCATGGTTGAGTGGCATACATTTTTTTGGCTTAACAATAATATTTTAATTCTTAAAACCTGCATAACAGACTCTTAGTGTTGACATAACATTTTCAGACTAAGTTAGAGACAAAACAGTGAAACCGTGCAGCATCTGAAAGACTTCCAAACCTAAAGCTGAAAAAAAAAAATAAATAAAACAAAAAAAACTCAGCCAGATCTAGACTTCTTCTTGTACCTTGACTAACACTGGTACAATAAGCCAGGACACTGAATCTAGACTATCGCTTGCTTTACTACACAGAAAAATCATTGATAGTTGAGGATTAGACACAGGATAACATGGCATTCAACTCAGTGGCCTGATCCAGAAGTTGGTGCATAAGATTCCCCACAGGTTGGATTATTATATTCATCTAGCAAATGCATATGTGTTCTGTGTCAAATATTTTTCTCTGGCTCCACTACTTTGCATTGATTAGACAGTATAAACCAGCCTGAAGCCTAGCCTAAAGTCACAACAGAGTATTGTCTCAACAAATAAGGCTGGAGAAGGGAAAAGTTTAAGGGACTTTTCTGGGGTGAGAAAAACTGGGCAATGCATCATGTGAGCACTCAGCCATCAACCCTCATAATTTAGGTCAGTTCTTAAACCTGTGATTACAGAGCAACATTCTAGCAAGTTCTTCCCCTTTCTTCTCTGCTACAGTCAAATGCAGGTTGACTGAAAATCTAACTGAAGACTTGTATTTGGCAATTACACTGAGTCTAATCCTGACTCATGAGCCCAATCCTGACTCATGAGCCCAGATTATCCATTCCCCTATCTACAGACCACAGTTGCTACATACTGGGACTTCAATCAGTACTTAGATGCTGTCAGTGGCAAGGAATGAATGGATACTTGAAACATACAGTTACTTATGACTTGATACTTGGAATCCAGCAGAGATGCCACAGATCTGCTCATGCAATCTGTCAAATATCCTGACAAATACCTCCTAGCAAGAGCTCAGAATAAGCCAGGCCTTTCTTGGTAAGGATTCTGGAGCACATTCAAAGGGCAGGAAGCAGTGGGACTAGTACTCCCCAGTGTATCCCAAATAAGTACAGAACATGCAAGAAAGCATAACCATTGGGAAGGGGTAGCATTTTCCCCTCTCTCCCCACAGAACAGAGGAGAAACGGCTTTGTAGCCACAGCGTATCTCTCAACCATAGCAAAAAAATGCCACCTTCAGCTTCAAATTAAGCATCAAGGTCCCACCTGCCTTTAGCAGCTGTCTCCCTACTTCCAAGCTACTCAGAAAATGATGGGAGAAACAAAGAGAAAGGTCAAAAGACATGGCAGGTAAAATGGCATTGGGCCCACACATTTTGAGATCAAACCTCAGATGTGGTGAAGCACTGATAAAAAGGCTGTGTCGTAAAGTACTTCTGCTTCCTGACTCTTTCTGAGGCTTTTTTAATGCATAATGTGTTCTGTAAGTTCCTAAATATCTTCCAACATAATGCATCAAGAAGAATGTACGGTCCTGTGGTGGGTTGACCTGTGGCTAAGACCTGTGCAGCTGCTTACCCTATCTGCCCCACCAACCCCACAGCAGGACAGGGGGGAGAATGGGAAAAGCAAAAGAGAGAGAACTCATGGGTCAAGATAGAATTTAATAAGTGAAGGAAAGAGGGGAAAGAAAAAAAAAAAAAAAAAAAAAAAGACCAATGTTTCCATCTCTCATGAGCAGACCAATGCACAGCTAATCTCTGAGCAAGAGCCACCCTAGAAGACAAAACCCTACCCACTTCTTCCTCTACCCCAGTTTTTATTGCTGAGCATGACATTACATAGCAGGGAATATAACTTTGGACAACCTGGGTCAGCTGTCAAGGCACTGTCCCCTTCCAGTCTCTTGCCAACCTCAGCCTCCTCACTGGGGGGACGGAGTGTCAAACAAAGAAAGTGGATGCTATGAAAGCACAGCTCAGCAAGAGCCAAACCACTGCTGTGTTATCAACACTGTTTTAGCCACAAAATCAAAACACAAGAGAATTACCTCCCTCCCAGCCAGAGCCAGGACATAGTCCTTATTTCTTAGAAATTTGCATTTACATAATGAAGCATCCACTACTGAAACCAAACTATAGAGGTACTTGTGACAGACAGGCAGACAGAGTAGCCTGCTCAAATCTAAGTCTCCAAACAGCAGATCCAGTAGAAGCTTGCAGTCCACCACTGCAGTTTTTTTGATTTTTCAGGTCTTATAAACAACTACAAAACTATACTTTGTGTTTTGAAACCCCTACTTTTGCACGATCATATTTTCTATTAGGTTACAACCACTACTAATAACACTAAGATTACTTCTGAACTGCAGACCAGAAGAGAAAAATGAATGTTTGTTAAGTCATTACTTTTCATTTTTAAAATAATGTTATTCCATTCTCTCCCTTTGTCTGTCAAAACATAGTGCTGGATTAGTTCATACGTTGATGATGTAAAATTCAGTCTGCCTTGTTGAACACTATGATACCATAGGCAGAAAACCTGGCTTCTTTTTCAATTATACTTTTAGTTTTCTTGTAACCTCACTAAAATTTCTGTGCACCTTGGGTTATCCTTCAAATACATACAATCAGAAAGAAGTAACACCTACTTTCCGTGGAAATGTCTTTAGATGTACAGGTGAAATGGTGTATAGGAGCTAAATGAAACTGCTGGTTTTGGTCATGTTATTTTTATTGCTGTGTGTCATTACAGATTTAAACACCATTATGTGGTAGACTCAATGCTCATGTTCAGCACATCCCCAGTTAGGTATCCACCTCCTAATTTTTAGACTCTTGCCTACCAGACTGAAATCAATGACCTGGTATTAGAAATTAAGCCAGCTAGCACACTACATGGAGGGAGAGAAGCGGTCAGATACATGACAAAGGAAATAAAACAACTACATGCCTCTCTAGTATAGCCACAGGATTGGAGGATTTTGTATCCAGTTAGATTAATATATAGCTCTCACTTGGGTTTAGCAGGAGCAAAGCTGCTAAATACTGTTCATGCTGAAAAAAATCATGACAGACTGGGAGGCAGAATTCAGGTTTCTGGAGACTCTTCAGCAAACCTGTAGTGAATTCACTCTTTGATCCCAGCAACTCGCAGATCACATCCTGGGACTTGGTGCTACCTAACTCTGTTTCTAAATACACATCTGCATGTTGTGCCAATGGTTTGCATTATCGCTGGCACACATCCTATGAAGGGGTAAGTAGTCATTTACACCCAGCCCCTAAGGCCCCATATTCAGCAGATCCACTACTCAATCTCCCAAGCAGCTAAGTAAGGCAGCTGGAGACTAAAGAGATCAACAGCTTCAGGCTCATAGGCACTAAAGAGCAAAACGGGATGGCCACAAGGATTGACTGCACCACTGCAAGAGATGAAGACAGCTATGTACATCTATGTGCTCCATGAGAAGCTGCTGTTAAAATATATAACCTATGCTGCCCTGTTGCTTGCAATGTCAGGACATCACAGGAAGGAGCTGACTCCTGAGGCTCTACACCAAATAACACAAGGTCTGTTTCCTTCAGTATGCATTTACTAGACTTGTTATTTGGCACTAGTTCCATTGGCAGAGTAGAATACCACCTTACATCGCACTGTCTTCACTGCAGTTTGAATCTCCAACATCCACTGTTGCATGGACACCAAATGTCTTCTCTGTCAAATCCAGCGGCATGTGGTTTTCAAATTTAATCATGATCCTCTTGGCCCAGAAGAGAATGCAGGGGATGCCATTAACCGTGACGTTCAGAGGGCTGTAGTGGCTGTGGGTAAACGGCCTCCAGGATACTCTTTCCCACCGTCCTTTCCTGCTCAAGTTGTAGCTGACAACCTGATTGACCACATGAAAGATCAGTATCAGAAGGTGTGTTATTTCAGGAGTTACTCTCCATCCTACCAGAATAAATGAGGCCAGTACTTCGTGAGCATCTTTGGAGCCAGTTCTCAGCTGCAGCAGTAGTGGATTGTGGAAGCAGAGAAATCTCTGGCTAACCCCCTCCCACCATGGCAATGGCTCCATACAGACCTCTAGTTCCAGCACAACTGTCCAGAGAGCCAATATAAGTTATATTTATCCTACTAGAGCAGTATCACTGGGGCATACCACATTCTCAGCATACTCCCATCTCACCCAAGCACACTGTAGAGTTGCCCAATATAAAAAGTTGAAGCAAAGATAGATGCTCACAAGGTGTTCACCCCAGCAGAAGACTCTCTAGGACACCAGTATGAATTACTTCAACACAGCAAAATGGACTCAGCTTGGGCCAAGGACATAGCCTACCATGCTGAAAGCATACTAAGGAGCTGTCCAGGTGAAAGAAATATTCAAGTCTACATCTACCTGCAGACAATTTGGCTCCTGATGGCTTTAAATTCAGCAAAATGCCTGTGGCAGAACAGGATGGCTCAGGTATGGATCCCTGCTTTTACAAAATCAGTCATTTGCAAAACTAAAACCTGGATATTGCCGCTTCCATGTCATCTATAGACATTAGATAAATGCTAATTCTAAGCCAAATTTCATAGCAAAAGGAGAACAATTTGGCTGCCAGGTCATATAATTTGAGACAGGGAGGTAGGGCTCAGAAAAGACGTAAAAATTTACTGTCCTTTCCATATTTCAAACTAAAATTTCCAGCTCTTTTCCATCTACACGTATATCCTCTATGAATATGATAATGTATACAATGTCTGCATGGCTGTTTTGCATGTCGTATGATTAGGCAAGATCAAATTATGTACAAACGAGAGGTATTCTGAGTTCCAATCATAAACAGCGTCTATCAGGTGTCAGAAGGGATGAAGTTAAACCCCAAAGCTTTGTCTTGGCTTAAAGAAAGATACTTTTTTTTACTATTCATGTTAGAAAATGATGTCTCCCAGCTCAGACCCTGATAGACCTCTTTTGATACTTGACCTTACATATGGCACAAGGCTGCTTTAGGATTAAAATTAGTAAGTACTCACAGCAGCAAGCTGAAAGCAAGGTAAGATCATGGTCAGAAAATGTGATGCAACAGCCATCAAGAAACATTGACTATGACTGTCATTTGTATAAATGATAAGGCTGTCTTCTTAGAAGTTCAGATGAGAGCGATTTAATCAACAGATTATTTACATTAGATTGCATCACTTGCAGGGGTTTTGGTAAGGAAGTCTTTTATGCTCAGTTTTTGACAAGACCTACAGGCTGGACTCAGGAAAAACTCCCACTGAATTTAAACAATTGGCAGTTTTGCTTTTGCTATTCTTTTAGTATGAAGTGATATAAGCAAAATACTGGCCACAGCATTGGCATTGTACAGAATACAGAGGATAGGAATTGGTTCTTTCAGTAAGACCCTGCGCTCAAACCCACTGCCAGTCAGCACCAGTGACAGCAACTGATGTCTCACCTTATTTCTCAGGAAAGCAGAAGGTATCTTGTATACCAGGTAGTGAATCACTAGCACATCACAATGATTTAGATAGTTTTGTTGGCTATTTCTTATAAAAAATATATTATTTAATTCAATAATGGAAATTAAAATATCTAAATGTGCTATGAAAAAGCATTAAAGATCCAGGCCTTCAAACATTACCTGTGTAATTGCTACTTGATTTACATTAAATTTTGGCTTCACACCACCATTATAATGTTGACCTGCAGAAGAAAGTGTGTTATTAGCTTGCAAAGAAAACATCCAATCATTTATAAAAGCATAATCCTGCACACTCTTATGCAAACAATAATTATCCCTGCACGAAATGTGTATTTCAGAATACCTGATTTTGTTTTGGAAAATATTTGGCTTGGTGCAAATACTGCCTTCAACACATGCATATTCTAGTTTACTTTTCCTTACTCATACAAGAAGATTCCTCTTCTTTACATTGAATATCTTAACATACCTAGTGGGAAGAACTCCAGTTCCCCAAAATGAGAGCATTCAACCCATACATGTATTTATTAATCCCAAATACACTTAACAGAAGCTTATTTTTGCTTCATACAGCAAACTCTATTGTCAAAGGGTGATCGTTGAATTGCATGGCAAAAGTGTGTTAACTATGGGTGGGAATTTCTTTCCCTGCACTGGCCAGAGATGAGAATCTGTGACAAATAACCTGACGGGCCAATTGCTTCGCAGGAGAGTGAAGTTTCATGTGACAGATCATTTCATGGATGCTCTCACAGCTCCATCCTTCAAACAATTAACTCTTTTCATTTGGGTAAAAAAAATAAAATAAAAAAAAAAAAAAAGATACTTCTATCTTCTACATCCTCACTGCATCTCAGAGTCATTCAGTAAATTATTATTTTAAGCAGGCAAATCCTTTACAGGGTATTTGATAAAGAGGGATATGCTTTAACTAAACATTTGACAGAAGAGTCACTAATGCTAACAGAAGCAGCACCTGAGAATGAACATCTTTTACAGCCACACTAACAGAGCCAGTATCTAAGCACTCAGCCCACTGAAAGACTTACCGTTTCTTTGCAGAGAATCTTGATCTGAAAATGCACGTGAACTAGAAGAGAAAAATATTTACTGTACAGCATCTGCATTTAAAGACTGTAGCAAGTTTACTGGGCAGACCTGTTCCCGCTTCATTCAATAAAACATTCAACACGTAACTCAGATCCTTGGCTAGTTAATGTCATGGGAACAGGGCAAATTAATCTCAAAGCCAGTGTACCCAGGATAAAAATGCCTCACTTTCAGAGATACCTCAGGTGGACCAGCCCTGCCAGGCATTCCCATATCCCTACCATATTGACTAAAGGCTTCATGACCCCTCTCTAAGTTCCCTTCCATGGGACATCAGTTTTCGGTTAGAGACTGAACCAGTTCCAGCCCGCAAGTGGCAGAATACAAGAATAGTGCTGCACCATCCTCAGCTCCCAGTGAGGATCAGAACCAACACACTGAATTGCTCCAGGATAGTGGAAATGCACAGGGCTAGTATGCTGCAAGCACAAGTTTGCAGCCATCTAAAGACAGCTCCTGAATGATTCCAAGCAATCCCAAATCCCATGGAAGTTAGATGCAAGGTAGGATGCAAGTGAAGCACATCTCAAGTCACAATTATCAGGCCTGTGAAATTTTCAGCCTCTGATTTTCCTCTTTGGTATAATTTAGGGATAAGTCTTCAGCTGGTGTAAGTATGATCAGCTTCCCTGAACTAGATAATCAAGGCCAGTAGATGCTCATATATCATCAAAACACCTATACGATCAAAGTCCAAGAAACCAGGCTCTCCCTTAGGACCAGACTCCACTCCTTGGGTCACAGGAACTCCTTCCTGCCCCCTCCACACCACAGCTGCTTCCTTGGGACCTGCAGGAGTGTTGTCCCACAGAGACTTTGCACACCCTGACTGGCTTTTGCCCGCACAGTGCCTTCCAGGCCATAAGCAATAGTGGGGATGGACCTGCCTCACAGCCACTTCACATGGAAATACATTTCCATCTTCTTTTCCTGCCTTGTTTCTAAACACCTTTCCAACCCACCACTAAAGCAAAATACTTGAAAAGATATACACAAAGAACAGCATAAAAGAGCTAGGAGTAAAAGCAGTTTTCAGTATTTATGCATAAATTGTACTGTAAGGTATGTGAATTGCAGAGTCAATTGCTGGGGAGCCCCTGAACATCTGGGTGAACCCACCCCTTGATGGACTCCCTGGGTAGGGGCATCTGTGCTACCCAACAGCATGTACTGTAGGAGCAATCCAAACCTAATTTCCATCACAGCATCCTTAATGGCAGACAAATATGAGTCCGAACAACGTAACACTACCAAAGGAGAAATATGGGATGGCTTAGAGCCTGCCCAGCTTGCTGCCATGCCCTTGCAGTCTGGCAGTCAGGAAGTTTGATCACACTGAACCTGGCTTGCCTGAAACCCTTGGCAATGTTACCAGCTTCAGCAAAGCCCAGATTTCACATGCAATGTCTTGTTTATACTTGAGGTTCAGGAGGGCAGCAGGCTCTTTCTTCTGATGAATCTCTCTCCAGCGAGAATGTCCTTTTGCAGGCATACTCTCTGCTGCCACAGATAAATCTCTTGGGTCCCCTTGCAAACTCCTCAAACCCAGAAGGCAAAACAGACAAAAGTAAAGCAAAGTCTGTACTCCAGCTTGTCACTTTGCTGCCAAACACCAGGTCTGACAAGCAGCTTTGCTCCAGACCATCAGACAATGCTCGGTCCCTTCAGCAACCTGGGAAATAAAGCAGAAGATGGTCTCCAGAGAAAACGTTACACAGCACAAAAAGACAGCTAGGCTCTGCAGCACCACAGCAGTGACTGTCATCTGAGCTGAAAGAACTTTGAAAGACCTTACATCCAAAACAGTTCAATGTAGAAAACACTTTAAAATCATTTGGGCAGTTTTATGTACATATAGTGAGACCAACTTTCTCCTCAGCTGTTAAATGCCAATGACTTCAAGGAGGCTGTCCACTTTCAAAGTGGGTCCCACTTTCTCCTGCTGCCCTTTGGGTGCCAGTGTTACTGCTGGACTGAGGTGAGCAGCCTTCAGAGATGGGCAGAAATAATACTCATTTTGACAGATAGTTAACAAAAGATATGGTCAAGATGGACAAAACCTTGTTTTCTTGCTTAGGCAAAACTCTTATGTTGCTTAATGATTAGGAACATGGGTTTTGTGATTTGATACAGCTTTATTTTTCTAGTCTTCCATCATGACAGAATGTTCCTTCACACCTGAAAAGGCAATTTGGGGGCATTTTTTCATGATAATAGCTACAGAATGAAACATGCCAAAAGGAAAACAATGTAAATTATTTAGTTATACTAAAGTTAGTTATATTTAGTTGTACCTCTATATGATTAGTTATACTTTTAGCTCCTTCCTTTCTACATAACTAAAAGCTCATAGTCTACTACTCCAGTTTGGAAATCACCATGTTATAGTGTGCAGACTAAAATATTGGGCTGAGAGAAGACTGGAGTAAAATTGTGTAATTCATTTCACTTGAAAGGTTTTTATGCTGTTCTGGGAAGAGGAAGGGTTAGTTTTGTTTTCATGACTGTTAGTTAAAAAAAATAAAACCTTACTTAGCTTCCTACCTGGTATAACACTAACACCATGGTCATGCCAACTACATCAGGAATGCTAACTGATAGGTAACATCAAGCCTTGAGGAGAGCATACAATGAATATACGAGGCATAACTCATTGCGAACCCCCCCGCAGGGTTACATCCTGAGCAGAACAGCTATGACCTGCCCTCCATGCAGCCCACCAGCACAGGTTGGGAGCTCGTGACAATGCAGTTCAACTCCTCTACATCACATGTAAAACCACAGCAACACGCAGCCATGCTGCTCCGGAAGAAATGTCAAATTCCTGCTCTCAGCATGAAGATACTCAAACATAGATGAATGTGCACAGCTAATGAAACATTCATGATTTCATGGTCAATGCAGAGGAGAGAGTGACCCAGGAACCACTGGTAAGTACCACCGTGTGACAAATACGATCAGCCAGATGGCAGGTACACTTGGGAGGCAGGCGGAAGCATGGAAGTGAAGTCACTCTACTCCTGTTTGTTACTCTGTGCTTCAGCAAGTCTGGCTGCCTCCTTTCCTCCTGCATGATGCATGCAGCCCCATTCAAGAAAGCAGAGGGAAATCCATCATGGCAAGGCTTGCAGTCTTTGCTTGTCCTTACTGAGGCCAGATTGCTACAGCACAGACAGCCTATCAGCAGCCTAAGGGAAGGATCACCTCTTGGTTTCTGAGCAATCACAAACTGATGTTGATGTAACCAGGTCCGTCAGCCGCCTGTGACACTCACAACCCTGAAGTGTGTGATCTGTGACAAGAACGGGTGGACTTCGATAGGGATCCTGCTGTCAAATCAGCAGCCTTTCCAACCAAAAGGCAAGCTGGAGAATTAACAGGTAATCTCTGGCAGCGAGGCCCTTTCACCCTCAGATGGAGCGTGTTTCACAGAACAAAAATATTGAAAGAAAAAGCAGGAAAATAACAACAGATTAAAAGTAAGTATTCCCTTTTGTGTTTAAAAATGTTAAGTACATGTATAAGAGACAGGAAACCAGCTAGCACTAGAGCCTTCATCTCCACTGCCTGCAAAACTATCAGTATAGAGTGGCTGGACCTTCAAATCAGTGACAGCACATTTTCGCACACTGAATTAGAGACTAGACTTTTAAATTTATCATTTTCATCCACTCTACCCTAAAACTTCAAATTCAGTTGCACAGATGGTATATATTTTAATGACTAATATTTTTCCTTGGCAATTGATAAATAACTGGCCCAGATACACTCAGACATGTATGTTTTATGTTGAATTTACCATACCAAGCATGTCAGCAGCCCACACAAAATTAGATTAGCACAAATACAAAGCACTAGGATGACTAATCACTATGTAAAACCCAATTAAATAAAAGTATAAAGAAGTGTAAATTCCCTCTTATCAGGTGACATTATCCATCTACATAAGACAACCATGTCTGGCTTGTTTGAGAAACTACATACAGACTCCAGCCCCTGAAGACTTTTTCATGTAAGTGGTCTTTCATACACTCAAATGAGCTGCATGAATAACCCTGGCACTCAACAGTGATTGAGTGTAGAGGTCACAGATAGCTTTCATGCCATCAGGGCAAAGGAAGCCATATTCACACTGTCTTTTACTCTTCATATCGCTGCTCTGACAAACTGCATCAGATGGCAAAATGCACCTTACTGCACTACTTTGATTACTCCAGAATTAACACTCTAATACTAATGTTGTCCAGCTGCAGACTACCTCACTGGCTGCTGAACTAGTTTCAACTGATTTATGAAGCATTTAATTGGAAAATAACATGTGAACCTTGAAACACACTAAAAACAAAGTTATGATGAAAGTTGATGAATGATAGCTGAGGTCCTGGTAGCAATGAACTGGTTGCAGTCCCAGGGACACTGGTTGTAAGTAATTCAATCAAGTTATTAACATATAAATGTATAAGCCAGAGAGCTCAGATTCAGGGCAAAAGCTAGCTCCTTCTAGGAAACATCTTAACAAAAATGTTATTAAGTTTCAAAAGTATCTGTTTAAGTTCTCTCACTAAGAATAGCTACAAAGCCCATGACTCCTATAGTTTTTAAATTTTAAGCACTGCGTGTCACATTTTAGTAGCCTCATATGTGATGTGACTTAGGGAGACAGAAACACATAATTATTTTACAACGTACTGAGCACTAGGGTTTGGTCTGCACTTTATTGCACAGTCCAATAACAACTGGATCACAATAAGATACTTAAGCTTTCATTTTTTATATAAAAAAAAAAAAAAAGAAATTGAGCTTGTAGAACTTCTAGCTGATTAACAATGTGCAGGCACAGTCCTACCTCCACTGAATGCAAAGGCGAAAACCCCATTCAATTCACTGGCATCAAGATTGCAACTTCATTTTTAAATATTTACTGTAATAAAGTTCATGTAATGCTCCACTTCTTGTTCTCTCTCAAATTTTTATCTGATTGCAGAAAAGTGCAATTATACTAAGACACTAATACATCTGAAAACTGGCAGAGGAAAGCAGCAAGTAAGCTATTTAAATAAAAACATATTGTAGTATTTATTGGTAACTGACTACCAAATCTCTTATTACAAGCTTAAGCAAATCACATGTCCTTCTTGCCTTAAATGCACGGATTTTACTGCCAGCTGTGACCTTCATCAGCATATTTGATCTGTGTGTTATTAGTGACTTTGGGACATGATTCAACTAATACAGTTTAGGCTGTTTTCACTTTTGTAATGACTGGCTCTAGAAAGTCCTTCCTTTGGGGTCCTCAATTCGGGCTTCTCGCTTATACCTCAGTAGAGAGTGAAACAGCACTATAAACAATGATAAATCCAAATATCTAGCAATTTTATAAGTTTAATATTTCTTTGAAATATCGAATTCATGCTTCAAATATTCTTTCTACACAAGTAGAACATTTTAGCACCTATGCTTCTTGGAGTAGTTTTCACACCCTTGCTGTTATTCTATTTATAATTCCGTTTTTACACAGACTAGGTAAAGTCAGTGTGAGAGTTATAAAAATGTAATAAAATATAAGACATATGCCCAGAAAACACTAATTTTAAAACTGTTTCTAGTACTGCTTCTAAAATTGTTTTAAAGTTACATTTTTAATGCACTGTACGCTAAAAAATTATTCATTTCTGTATTAGCCCCAGGGTGTTTTCAAACCTGCAAAGAAAATTAAAACCATGTCCTGACATTCTCCACTGAGATCAAATCCACTTCCACACAGCACAAGTGATCAAATTATGACATTTACAACATGCACTTAACTCCACCAACAGTTTGTTGATACACACACTGAATTACCGACCTGCCATCCGCTGTTGCAATCACTTGCTCCATAGACACCGCGAATCCCACATACAAAAAAAGCAGTAGGAACCTCACGGCAGCGTTTCTTTCCATTGGGAAGAGAGCCAGTCCCTCCACACCAGGCACATCTGCTCCTCTGGTCCAGCGGGCAGCTGGGCACCCGTGCCCTGCCTGGCAGCGTGACGAGCAGCAGATCCAGCCAATCGCGGGCGGGATTTGCCACTCCATCACTGCATCCGTACCCACAGCAGAAATTCTTCGTGTGCTCAGATTTGTGCTGACAGCAGACACCTACCACTGGCGTGTTCCAGCTTCCTTGTGAACTAAAGATTACATGTTCTAGGGAAATCGTACCAGGATATGAGATGTGTGCTAAAGAAAAAAGAAATAAAATCAGATAGTCTCTCCAGGCTCTAAAATCACACTGAAGAGCACTTCTCATCTGTACTCAACCCTAACATTAAAGAAAGGTGAGGGTGCTGTTTCCAAGCAGCATTGAAATTTCTCCTTCTGTATGATAACCAGAGAAATAAATACTTGTATTTTGAACCCTGACAAGACCTTCAGAATAATAGTATTATCCCTGTTTTACAGATGTGAAAGCAGACATAGAAAGCTTAGAAGTCAGATATTTAGAAGTGGTTTCCTTTCTTCAGCACTAATTTAGTTTGTGCGTGTCCAGCTTTCTGCCTCAGTTTATGTGCTTACAGATAACGCTAAGCCAAACAAACCACAGCTGCTAAATGCACAAAGAATTGCAGTGCCTCTTTCTGGACTGTCAGATCAAGACACCAAGGTGCATACACGTAACTGAATACAGCAGGTGGGTTCTGGGACAGGTCATTCTCAAAAGACACGTGGGTCACAGCCACTGGTACCTCTTCTGCAGACCCTTTGTCCTCATCAGCCTGCTCAAAATACTCATCAGTTGTGCTTGTGATGGCAAAGAAGAGGGCAAGGCACATGAGTGAACTCCTCCAATGCTATGACCCATGTGCGTTCTCCACGTGTTGCTCAATAACTACAGCTTGCATTCAAAGCCTCTGCACAGGGCCAGGAAAGCTGAAATCAGAATACTCGCTGGTGGTCCAGGTGCAATGAGAGTGCTCTGCAGCGCACTCATGTGCAGTCTGGCCTTTGTGAACACAGCCATGGGCCTGCGACCAGCCTGGAGGGGACCCTGGGGCCCACGCAGAAACAGGCTCCTGGTACCTGCCTTCAGCGCGCGCAGCTCACTCTCTAAAGCAAGCTCGGACCAACGCTTGGCTGACATTTAGTCACGCTGCGCCCTTCTACACTTAAATACCAAACAGGACATAGTCACAACCTGCTCCTACACACTTATGTGTGTACACACATACTCCCCACACACCCACTGTTTTCTTGCCCGGCAGCTGACACATCAGCTACCTGCTGATGGGATCACACAGTAAGCCCTACTTCACTGATTAAGAGCTCCTCTCTTTTGCATTCCAGATATAAGATACAGATAGGGGCATTGGCATCGTAACTATTAAAAAGGATTTACCTTCTTAATTCATTTTCTTTCAGTGATGCAGAGTATTCACTAATCTTAAAAATCTCTCAAGAGCTTGTCCTCAATAGTACTGCTTCTATCCAATTTAAGGAGGAATACAGATATTTATGTGAGAATCCCAGCTTGAAAAATGAGCTAAGGGAACACAGTGATAATGAAGTGCCAGTTGAAAATAATCTTTAAATTTTCTGTGAAGCACCAGAAATGTGTGATGCTAAACTTAGAATAATTACACCAGTACAGTGACATGGCTCAGCTGAAAAATTAAAGCAGCCCTGGGAAGAGGCAAATGTGTCATACACTCTTCTAAAAAACTGTGAAGCCACTAATGTCACGGGCCTGTTAATCATTTCAGTACACCTGACTCACAGTCCCTCCTAAATAGGTGGGGGGAATAGACACAGAGTGGTTTTCTGATGGTGCCCTGAGATTTCCTTCATGTGCTGCTATTTTCTAAGTGTTCTTCATCAGCATGGGAACCAATGCTAAGAAATGAAAATGATGAAACACAAACCAGTATGGCACAAATAAACAAATAATGTGTCCTTTAAGGGCAGAAAAAGGGAGAGAAAGAAGTATAAGCAACATGTGGCAGGCCACAGCTGAAGTCAGTACAGGCTGAATCCAAGACCATGTCCTGTAGTCCCTTCTGTGACAACAGAATATATCTTCAATTGTACTTCCAGCCTGTGTTTCCATGGTGCTAACAATTTCTAGAGGGAACCTGCCTTCTTAGAACACTGTTTCACATAGAAGGAAAAAGTACCTATCAATTTGCTCAGAAACAAAGGGGGTTTTGTAGACGCAAGAAAACATATAATGCCAAATTGCTAACATAGGTTAAACAAGTATAAATTAGTAAAAATATACTTTCTCACTATACAGTAATACTATGGGTACCGCTGCTACTTCACAGATCAGCTGTCATAATCTGAAATAATGGTAGAAACAAAGAGCATGAAGAAAAGTCTTTCCTTACATCTTGACACTTGCTAATAACAATTTGCTTTTTAATGAGGTTCAAGCATAAACAGACTCACATGGTATCTAAAAATAAATTGGATCCACTGAAAGCAAAAAAGTCATCCTGAACATTACTTCATTCTGGTGAAAAATTATGACAAAACTACCATCTCTGCATTATTGAGTTTAAAAAGAAAACTTGAATGGAGCCTTACATGCAGTAGACCTGACAAGGGAATGATTACATGAGCTCTTGTGACTCAGTTGACAAATCACTGTTGTACACTGAAATCAACCAAACGAAGCTGGCTCGGCCACATGCTTCAACTACATACATACTCGGTGGACAAAGGGTGAACAGAGGATCATGGGCAAAGTGCACACACTGTTTTATGGAATACACAAGGTTACACTCAACTCAGCAGAGGCATCCAATGAAACTCCCGCAGGACAAAGACAATGGGAAGTCAACACTTTTGTTTATATCCTGTAAGATGGGCTATGGTGGGCTAAAAGTGGCCAAGATTCCAAATAAGAAGATTAAATTGCTGTTTAACACCTTTTTTTTCCCTCTCTAGCAGTAAGTTTCTGTTTGTGATTACTCTTCATGCAAAACTAATCCTCTGATGTTAAAGCAGCTACCACTTAGCTGGTTTTTACTTTGTATCATGGCAGTTCAGACATCTCCACCACCAGGGAGAAGGCACAGCTGTACTGAAGAGATCTTACTGTACTTTAAACACTGCTCTTTTTTTTGGATCTACCTCTCAGGAAAGGTAGCTAAGAAAGCAGTTGGCAATTACACTCAGTGTGAGGTTTCACAGTTTTGTGAGATTTGTGAAACAATCAGAGACTGATAGGTTAGCCAGTCAGTATTGCTGGCATCCCACACATCCCCCAATGTGTCACCAAAACCCAGCAAACCCCCTCTCAAACAGGGTGATTACAGAAACTCTGATGGAGACCCTGAAATGACATCTGTTCTGCCTGATGCTGCAATTATACATATACATACAGAGCTTGCATGCAGTGAACGAGACTGCAGACATAATTTTAAACATAAGTAATTTATCTCTTTGACTACCACCTCCTGAGGCAGACAACAGCACAATCCATTTTCAATACAATCTATAGTTATCTTCAGATGATGTATCAGGTCACCATGAACTGCGCAGTTTTCTAAACTAACATGTCTCAATCAAAGTATGAGGTATCAGCCACTATATAAGGTACTAGCACTTAATATATCATTACTATTTTTTTTACTTTGAGACATGCATTGTTCCTCTGATTCAGATATATTCACAATGAACTGAAAATGCTGCAGAAGGATTACAGAAAACTGGCCTTAATGTACAGAAAAAGCTTGACTCAGTTCCAGTAAAATCCTCTCTCTGGGCAACTAATTTGCCTGCAGGTCTTTCAGCCTTCATCTCCACCACACAGGCTGGGATGATGCAAAAAATCCTGTTACAATCCTCTTTCCTGTCTCCCTTCTGCTGCTTGCACCCTCCCCAACAAACCCAAAGGATGTCATCCTATCTCGAGAAATCTCCAGACTCCAGGCCCTACTACACCTGATCTGGATGGAAGGTGGGTCAAGAAGGAAGCTTCTAATTTTTGGTCTGCCTTTGGGGTGGAGACTACCAAGCACACAAAAACAAACAAACAAACAAACAAAACAAAACAAACAAAAAAAATAAGGGGAAAAAAAAAAAAAAAAAAAAAAAAAAAAACACAACCACCACAGAAAAGCTCAGTCTGCACTTCTGCACTAAAAGGCAGACCTACCACTGTGAATGGAGGTCTCAACACTTGTGCATCTCCAGTCCCCTGGAGAATGTAACTGGCAGCCAGCAGATCTGGCTGGTTTGTTTTACACCCGTCAGCGTTTTGTAAAGTACTTGCCGTTCAAGTGAGAGAACGCCACAGGCTCTGAGGTACCAGAAGCCATAATTCTCCCTCCCTTTTTTTCCTTCAACCTCCTTTTTGTCCTTCTCCCCGCCGGGCGAGGCCCAGGAGGCACCACTGCGCACATTTTACACACCGGCCGGCGGGTCCCTGCTGAGGGCGGCAGCGGCGGGGCCGGGCTGGCCCGGCCCGAAATGGCGGCGGGAGGGAGGGCGGGAGGGAGGGAGGGAGCTGTAGTTCCCGCCCGGCGCGGAGGGGCGCGGAGCTGCCGCCCGCGGGGGCGGTGGGAACGCGGGGCCAGAGGGGCCGGGAGCGAGGGAGCGACCGCGGCGAGTTCCGCGCCTGCCGGGCTGCCGGGGAGGCTTCCCTTTAACAAGGTCTGCGGGACGTCAGAACCCAGATTTCACAGGGAGCGCGGGAAAGCAGATTATACCGGGAGTTTTAAGATAAACAGTGGGGTTTTGGGGTGGATTTATCTGCTCGGCTAACCGAAACGTTTAATTTTAAAAGTGCTTGCGTAACAGCGCTGGCGTTTTCCAGCAACAACCTGTTTCCACCCAGCTGCCAGCAGCCCTGCTGGGTGGCTGTTTCCAGCCGAGTTACTAATTTGGGATAGCGCACTGCAAAAACACCTAGCCAGGGAGAAGAGGGACCCCCACGACAGCAGGGTCTTGTGCAAGCACACCTCTGCAGAGGCTGGCACGGGGGGCGCAGCCGGGAGCAGCGGGGATGGGGCTGCATCCGTACCGGGGTGCCAGCAGGGCCCAACCCGCGAGAAGGAGCGGCTGCCCGGTGCCCGGGTTGCTCCTCTTGTCAAACGGACCTGGGGAAGCGAAGCAGCCCCGCTCTGACATCCTGTCAGCGTCCAGCTGAACCAGAACGGAGGGGGGAAACGATGGCCCTTGTTCCCAATGGCGGTTGCCTGAATTTCATTGAGGTAAATAACCTACATCCAAACCCAAGTTAGCTCAAGTTACCCAAAACCTCAAGTTAGCTGTCCTGGTGGAGCCTCTCAGAAATAGTAATGTTACTTACGCTAGGCTTTGGGGAGTGTAGAACTACTGGGTTCTGCTGGTTAGTAAACACAGGCTGAAATTGTGGAGCTCAAATTTTCCAGTGAGGCTATTTCAACAGACTCAGGGTGCAGCTACTCCACTGTACATATGCATGTAAATTTGCCAAAGAGAGTCTTGGTTGTTAGCCGTACTTGGCTTTATTCTTATTTGTTATTTCAATTCAATTGGACAGTTGTTTTCAATAGTCTGGTTACTGCTAAAGTCTAGGAAAATTACAAAAGTTTTGGTTGCTGGTTTGGGCTGGAAGGGTCACCCTGTTGGCAACATTCATGGAGCTCAAGGTTGTCCAAGTAACCAGAGTGCCTCTGTTGGCCTTGTACAAGGGCAAGTAGGAGAGACCACGACCCTAAGTTCCTTTTATGCAAGCCAGAGTACTAATAAACATTTTCATTTGATAATTTTGGTATGCCTTTCTATGTCACAATAAGTGGTTTGCATATACAAATATGTCCTCTGCATGTTACTAAACACTGGATGAGACATCAGAGTGAATATTTAAGCAACAGATGATACAAACTAAACCTGAGCACTTCTCTTTGACTTTGAATCAAACAAACCATATTAAGTTTGAAGAACATGGTGAAATGAAGAAAACCTATCATAAGTGTCCCAAAATTCTACTGAAGTTTAAAAGGAAACAGCAAGAACTACAGTAGCATCATCTCAAGTCATCTCTTTCCTAGATCTTAACATGTTAGTGAATATTTGTGCACCAAATGTAATAGGTTGTTGTTGTGGTTTGAGCCTACTCAGCAGCTAAATGCCACACAGCCGCTCACCCACCCTCCCCCCACTTGGGAATGGGGAGGGAATTGGGGGGGGCAAAGGGAAACTCGTGGGTTGAGATAAAACCAGTTTAATAATAGTAACAGAATAATACACGGACAGCAATATCAGTAGGTAATGTACAATACAGCTGCTCACCACCTGCCAACTGACACCCACCTGCTCCTGGCCGGCGATCCCCAACACCAAGGCCCCACAGCAACACCCCTGGAAGTGAGAGCCTCTCCTGGCCCACTCCTGCCTTTATATAGTGAGCACAATGTCACGTGACATGGGATATCAGCCAATCGGGGCCCAGCCCTCCAGCTGTGCTCCCCCCGCCCCCGCACACAGGTGAGGGCACTGGGCCCTGGGGAGCCCCTGGGGTCTCAGGGTGCTGCAGCACTCCTCCAGCTACTAAAACAAACAGGAACTCTAGTCCAGCCCGAATCAGGACAGTTGTTTATTAATTTTATTTATTCAATTTCCTTCTTAGTCAGCTTTTAAGTATTCCTAATATTTTTAAGATTGTAAATATGTAGACTTTTTACAAGATTAACTCCTTTATTCTTAAAATTACGTAACAGCAATTGTTTTCTCCACATCGGAACTGCATCTTCAGAAGAGCTGCTTTTTATAATATTGTTTGCTCCTGCAACTGCTTCTGGATTTTGTTTGTTGGGATTTTTATTTAATTATTTATTTTATGGGGTTTGATTATTCTATGCTGATTGAATGTAAAAACAGACCTGCAAAAACACACGAAGTATGTATTTTCTATTTAAGATGTAAACACAGGTCGTGTTAGTAAAGACACAGTTAGATCTAATTACTGCCCCTTCACAGTAATTCCAAAAAGGGAAGTGAACGTTCATGACTTTTTCCTTTAGGAGTGGACTGCTTGAATGTGGCAGCTGTGCCTGCTCAGTTGGCATCTGCAGATGGCCTGAGTTTGTCAGTATGGACTAACAGCAGTTTTCAAAATTGATAAATGCTTGTTTCTGTTACAGGATTTTACTCTGGTGTAGATCTGCTGGAAGGTTAGGGGCAGCACAGTTATTTAAGTCAAAAGTCAGAAGGAAGAAATCTTGGCTCAGCTACCATCAGAGCTCCTTGGCATCTTCCTTGCTCACCCTCAATACACCATATGGGAGATTTTTGCTTTTGCTTACTTTGTGAGCAGCTTGGCAAGCACCCGCTGCCTAGATCTGATGAGGATGCAGAGGAGCCGAGGGGCTTGGTGAGCTCCAGGAGCACCATGGAAGAAGGAAGGGCCCTCCCAACCTGCACCTGAGGACACTCTGCGCAGAACTGGGCCAAGGCCACCACACTCTCCTCACTTTTAAGACTGTTCCGTGCCTCTTCTGAGTGTGGCAGTCCCCTCTGCTGCTTCTTTCAACCATGAAGGACTCTGCAAACAAGCCCGATGCTACGGAGAAGGGCCGCACAAGGGCCATTTGGCGATGCTGACCTGAACTTCAGCATCCCTCCCGCCTTGCAACCCGAACTGCAGCGTATTTCCCACTTCACGACCCAAACTTCACCATATTTCTCGCCTCACAACCCGAACTGCAGTGTATTTCCCGCCTTGCAACCCGAACTTCAGCATCCTTCCTGCCTCACAACCTGAACTTCAGCATCCTTCCTGCCTCACAACCTGAACTTCAGCATCCTTCCTGCCTCACAACATGAACTTCACTGTATTTCCCGCCCCACGACCCGAACTTCCCATTTTTTGCCTCACAACCTGAACTGCACCATGTTTCCCGCGTCACAACCTGAACTTCAGCATCCTTTGTGCCTCTCAACCTGAACTTCAGCGTACTTCCCGCCTCACAACCCGAACTCTAGCATATTTCCCACCTCACAACCTGAACTTCAGCGTATTTACCGCCTCGCAAACCGAACTTCAGTGTCCTTCGCGCCTTGCAACCTTAACTTCATCGTCCTTCGCGCCTCACGACCCGAACTTCAGCGTTATTTCCTGCCTCGCCGTCCCTCGCTTCCTCAGGGAAGCCGCAGCGCCCTTCCGCTGCCTCCCCTCGGGCAGGCGGACAGCGCGCTGCCCTCCGCGCCTTCCCCCTGCCGCCGCCATCCTCTCCTCCCTCGCCAAGCCACCTATTCCCAGAAAAAAAAAAAAAAAAAAAAAAAAAAATTAACCGAGTTTAACGCCGGCCGCCGCCCTCTGAAGGGAGCGAACTCCCGCCCCGGCGGGGGCGGTGCCGGGCGGGGATTTTCAGTCAGGCGCGGCGCGGGCAGCCCGCGGCGGGGCCTCGCAGCCACAGCTAAGCGCGGCGCAGCGGTCGCACCCCGCCCCTTTCGCGCTCGGCAGCCGCGGCGGCAGGATGGGTGAGCTGCGGGACGGGGCCGGGGGCCGGGGCCGGGGCGGCGGGGGTGGCCCGCGACGTTCTGTGCCCTCCCGGTGCACATTATCCCTCCACGCCGCCGTTGTTCTGAGGGAGCGAGGCGTCCCCACGTAGGCGGGGGGGGCTGAGGGAGCTGCCCCTTCACACCCCCCCCCCCACACACACACACACACCCGCCCTTGTTTCCTGCAGGGAAGTGCCGAGGGCTCCGCACCGCCCGGAAGCTTCGCAGCCATCGCCGCGACCAGAAGTGGCACGACAAGCAGTACAAGAAGGCTCACCTGGGCACGGCGCTGAAGGCCAACCCCTTCGGCGGCGCCTCCCACGCCAAGGGCATCGTCCTGGAGAAAGTGTGGGTGCAGCTCCGGGGGTTGGGGGGGGTGCGGGGGGAATCCGTGGGCCGGCACATTTCCGCCCCCCCGCGTGGGCCCGAGTCGGCGGCCGGGCGGTGCGCAGCGTGGCAGAGGCCTCCGCAACGTGAGGCCTCTGAAGCGACCTCAAGAAAGAAGCGCTGCTGAGCGGTTTTGTTTCCTAAGTGCGGGGGGGGACGTTTAGCTGCCTATAACTCGCCACATCTCTGCTGGCTTCTGCGTGGTAGACAGAAAATGGTTTATTTTTTCCACGCAGCTGTGCGGAGAAGTACTTTTTCCCGTACACGCGTCACTTGAAATACTACACTTATTTAGAAGCAAAAGAATAAAAACAACAATTTAGGATTTGGGGGGTGGGGGTGGGGTGTGTGGATTTTCTGTGTGCACCTTGTGTCAAAGATCCCATCTACGGCCTTTTTTCCTGTTTTGTTTCTTTTTTTTTCTTCTTTCAGAACTTAAAAGCTTCATCAGGATGCTACCAGGGCCCCCAAGTGTTTTATCTTTTTTTTTTTTTTTTTCCTCCAGATTTTTAGTTACCAAATTAGCACATGTCTGTAGGTGTTTCATTCTCAATTGGGCTTTTATATATCAAATAGCTCTAAATAGTTAAGCAACAGGTTTTGAAGTACAGATACAACTTGCACTTAGTACAAGGTAATGCAGTCAGTTGTGGTGCTGTACTGAATATCTGCTAGTTCATAAAACATTTTTTGCTAATTTCAATTTTCATGTGCTTCCATTTCAGTGGAGTAGAAGCTAAACAGCCCAACTCTGCCATCAGGAAATGTGTTAGAGTCCAGCTGATTAAGAATGGCAAAAAAATAACAGCTTTTGTTCCCAATGATGGTTGCCTGAACTTCATTGAGGTGAGTAATTTTCAAGAAGTCATCTATAAAAAGTTGTATTTTACACCAGAAAAAACCCACATAATTTGCAGATTTAGGGAATGGTTAGACAAGGGCTTGTGGCATTCTGTACCATGTGTATCTTAAAGCTGTAACTGCAGAGGCAGATGAAAAATGCCAGAGATGTTCTTTCGTACTTTACCCTCCTTAGCAGAGGTCTCAGCTGTGCTGCTGCAAGCTAGATGACATCTCAGCTTACATTTCCAAAACACTGAAGGGCGTAACAGTCCTTTGTTCATGTATACCTGTCAGTAGCCTTCAGTATTTCCACTCTTTCCTGAGAAAGTCTAGGATGAAGCTCAAAGTTACTGATTTCAGAAATACGTACGTATTTATTGTTCATAGCTTTCTAACTACATGGTCTTTTATTGCAGGAAAATGATGAAGTTCTGGTTGCTGGTTTTGGTCGGAAGGGTCATGCTGTTGGTGACATTCCTGGAGTTCGCTTCAAGGTTGTCAAAGTAGCCAATGTTTCTCTGTTGGCCTTGTACAAGGGCAAGAAGGAGAGACCAAGATCATAAATTTAGATGAATATGTCAAGAATATCAATAAAATTTTTAATTGGAAAAACTTCTCTGATTGTTATTTAAGGCTTACTATTGTTCAGTGTGTATCTGCAAGTGACACACCTCGGTGGTGGTGCACACAGTCTTTTTTGTCACTGGCAGCTGGCTTTTCCTTCTGTAAGAAATGCTCTGCTGTTGAATGACAGCAGAGCCAAAGCATCAGCAGAGGAGCTTGAAAAGCACTTGCACTTCCAAACTTACCTCTGTGCTGTGTGGAGCAACACAGCTGTCTGCCAGGAACTTCAGAGACTGCCTTCATAGAACGAAGGGGTGTTTTAGTGCGTTGTGGACCATCCTGTCATGGCCAGCACCTTCATGAGGGCTGCTTCAGCTTGGTAACTAGAGCAGTGGTTCCTGCAGTCAGTAGAGATCAATAGATCCCTCTGAGGCCTTTGTCCCTTCGCACACCCTTCCCAAAAGTTGTTAGGAGGGACCCATGAAACAATTTCTGGATTCTGCCAGTTGTGCAGAACGGTGAAGATTTTGAAGCTTGGGTCCAAGCGTGACGCTGAGTGAGCTGGAGCTCTGACAGGAGTGGGCTGCCTTGCAGAAGGGAAAGGTCTCCAGCGTTCGCTCTGCTGCCTACGTGGTTTACGAGGGCTGGAGTGCTGTGAGAGCACGGAGGAGAGCACTCCTGTCACCTGTGGTCCAGCACAGAGCTGACACGTGCCAAGTGCACCAAAAGTAAAAGCGGGCTAGCGATGGCTTTGGTGTCACAGCTTTAATGATCCTAAGGGGGCTGCATCATCACGAGTCAGCATATCATTAGGGATGGCTTCTGCAGTGGAAGGGGTTGGGGGAGGAACAAGTTTACTGCCACATCTTGCAGTAAAGTCAGGTTTCCTTGTTGGTAAAGGTCTGCAGTGGGTATTTTTTACTGGATGTTACCGCAATTTGAAAGGGAACATAGCTGTTAGGATGAAAATATTTGTCAGGCAGCAAGATTAGATCTTGTATCTGTTAGATCTGTGACATTTTGCTAGTCATTCAGTTTCTGAATTTTTTTTACAACTAATTCCAGTTTTATAAAATATAACTGTACTCTATGAAGAAAGTTTAATTGCTTCTCAGGAGCATAGGATAACTGTACTTTGGCTACTAAATAGATACTAAAACTATCATCTAACTATGTAAAGGTGGGTTTGTTGGGTGGTGGTTTTTTTTTTTCAAAGCCTGATGTATTAGACGATACTCCCTTGTTACGCCCATCTGTTCAGTGGCTGAATGTATATACTGTTTGAGGGATGTTTGTATGTAATAAATACTACACAATCCAGAACTTAATTACAGATTCAATATTATTTTTTTAGAAGAAAAAGACTGCTAGTCTAGTGTAGCTGGAATTTTATCTTCAGTCATCATGTCAGTTATAAAACTCCTCCCATAGGAACTGAAATTTACTGCTAGGTCTGGCCAAAAAAACCCTGTTTCCCTGGGACTATTAAATTCATCAGGAATCAAAACATCCCCTCAAGCAAATTGGGAGGAGAAATTGCATTAATTTTAATGCTTATTTTGGATAACAGCCTTCCTCAAATCAAAAAAGGTCACTGTAAATGATGAAAATGGTATTTTTTCATGGTCTTCAAATGATGACAGAAGTTCTAGTTTTTGGTGTGAAGACAGGCAATAGCACCTGATACAAAATTCATCAAGTTTAGGTCCTGAAGGGGATTTTTAATCCCCTTACCCACTCTCATCTCTGTCCTGCTCAGCCCATAGAACTTAACCCAGTTGCTTTCATGTTAAGTGCAATTTAAGTCTAACTAGTTGGACTTGAGCAAGTCTGCCTGTTTTGAAAACGCCTGTTTCTTTTAGTGCATTCCAGCTGTTTTCATTATCTGCTGTGTACTGACTTGAAAATGTCTTTGAGTAGGGCGTTTTGGCTTTCTTTGCTAGATTAAAACAACTTCTAAATAGTTTGATTTTTTTTTTTTACTTTTCAAAGATGCTCCATAACTAGGCTATTTGAAAAACTTAAGTATTTCATCAGTTCATATCTTCAATCATTTTTCTCTGTATTGTTCAGTTTTTCAACATCGTTTTAAAATGTGGATGCCAGAACTAATACAAAGTTATAGAACAGAACATCAACTAAAGAAGCCATCATGTCCTTCTGTATCAGCCTTTAAATCATTGCCAGATATTCTGTTCTGTTGATACTTGCACTCACGCATCTTATCTTGAATTTGGCCCCTTGAAAGTACATTTTGCACAAAGCTTATAGCAGCGCGCTGGGTTCTTTGTTTCATGTTAGAACTATTTTATGCAAAAAAACCTCAAAATATTTATTTGGCTGAAGCTAGAGTGCAGACAATTCCCTCATTATAATCACAATTCATCTGTGTGTTCATCCAAAAGGCTTCAATTAGTATTCATTAATTTATATGAAAATGGAGTAAAATTTAAGAACAGATTGAAAATCTCTACTATTGGGCATCTTATAGCTTAGTCATCTGGGAATTCGTGAGATTTGGATTCAAATCATTGTTCAGGCATAGAAACAATGCTGAACCTGGGTTTCCCTTATCCTTGCAAATGCAGTAGCCCCAGTCATAACGAAAACAGCTTTCACTGCAGCCCCTTCCCAGCTTTATGGGGATGTTCTGGGAAAGCTGCTCTCTGCAATTCTGGAATTAAGACTTCCTCTGTTGCAACCTGACCTAAATACCCTTTAAGATTTTCAGAGTGAGGCCTTAACTCCTTGACTCACCTTGGATTCAGTGTAAATGCACAGCACCTGTAGCGCACTTCACTCAAGCAGCATGTTGGAGCGTTAAGTGAAGAGGCAGGGTGGACCATGCCATCAGCTACCCTCACGGCTCACCAGGATACCCAGTGTCATTTTTATTTTTACTGTGCTCTCTGGCTTCCTAGACCTTCTGTTTTCTTGGCTAGTGGGGGGTTAACCGCTGGGTTTTTTAATTCATACAACCATATGCGTGTTCTGGATGTGTTCTTTTTTTCACCCAAAATGTTATGCGGATGGATTTTGAAGATCTACATCTGCCCAGTATTTCTTGCAGCTTCACTGATTCAAAGCTACTGTTTATGTACAGTAATTTCAACCATGCTATTGTACACCCAGAAATCCCAGATACATCCTTACCACGTCTGCTGTGGCTCTGTCTAATGCTTCTGTGAAACCTGGAATAGATGTGCAATAATCGAGGTAGCACACAGTAGATGCATGCGTATCGTACTACAAAGTCTCTGAAATCCAGTCTTTGTCTAGAAGTACAAACTATGTAAGTAGACAGCCAGGTTTGAAAACATTTGCTGCCATCAATACAGCTATATTTATTAATAATATGCAGCTAACCAACTGCAGGTACACATGTGAGAGAAATTAAATACAAAATTGCAGGAAAAACAGCTAGAATGTTATCAATTTTGTTCAGGTATGCCTGGATTGCAATAAGACTGGAAGCTACTGGATGAGCAAACCTGAACATTGAACTATGACTCACAGCTTGCAGATCTGACAGCAGTTCCTAGTGAAAAAGACAGATCCCAGACAGCTAGTTTAATCTAGAAATGTATGCAAATGTTATCCTACACAACTGCTGGTGTTAGGATCCCAGCTCAATTTCTACAGGAGACACATTACTTCAACTAAGAAAATCAGCAGCTTTGGTTTTGTTATTCCAGCAAACCGTGTCTGTCTGGTTTTGCTATTTTGATTTGCTTTTCCTGCATAGCAAAAATTATTAGTAGGGATGCCAGTAATATTCGTTTGAAAAAAAAGGATTTTACTGCAGCCAGTGAAGAGCAACACTGAAATCCTCGCGGTTCAAATTCTGTTCAAATTCTAAAGTCAGGCTGGCAGCAGAGGAGATGAAGATCTACCCGGAGGTAAATGGGAGCCAGACCAGTTTCCAGAAGTAGGGCATTGTCATGAGGTAATCTTGCCACTAGATGTTGCTGTCAGTACAATGCAGGGAAAAGCTGAAACATAAAAGGTGTAAAGCGAAAAGTTGTTTATGTGGACTTTGACAAAGGAAATCTTCAAAACAGGAAATCTAGCTTTTAACTGATTCAGTGAGTTCCTGTTAGGAAGATGGAACACTTACTGCCTTGTGGCTATTGCATACCTAAATGGTGGCTAGACACTACAGAGAAGCACAAGATTATGGACTAAATTCACCTGAAATCATGTTAGATCAAAAACATGGAAGAGAAGAACACAGGTGCTTGTCATATGTGTACATTTTACAGGTTTGATTGAATTAGGGGCTTGGGTTTTGTTTTGGTTTGGTTGTTTTAAAAAAACTTATTGCAATGTAGCAGAAGTGAGACTGCTATTAATGTGAAGGTACTGGGAGTAGAAAGCACAGAACTGGGAGCAGGACAAGCAAAGCACAAATTTATTAAAATCACTTGCACATTTTGAGTTGCATTTTATTATCTGTTTGTCGTGGTTTGGGCCTGGTTGGCAGCCAACCACAACGGAGCCAATCTCTCTCCCTTCCCCTCCGGCAATGAGAAGGGACAGAGAGCCAGGATTGGGGTCCGAGATAGGACTGGGAGGGGGAAAAATTCCCCTTTATGATCATGAGCAAAAGGCAGACTCGTTAGGGGAAGAAAAAAAGAACATACATTTATTACAGACACTAACAACACATAACAGAGTAGGACAGTGAGAAGCATTGCCACATCTTGAGAACACCTTCCCCCCACCCCTCCCTTCTTCCCGGGCTCAGCTTTGCTCCCGATATCTCTACCTCCTCCCCCAGTGGCGCAGGGGCAGGGAATGGGGGGTGCAGGCAGTGCTGCCACTTCCCTTATCTTCAGTGGGGGGACTTTCTGGAACTTGTTCCCCCTGCTCCATTGTGGTCCCCCTCTCACAGGAGACAGTCATCCACAAACTTTCTCCGACATGAGTCCCTCCCACAGGCCGCAGCGTTCCCCACACTGCTCCGTCATGGGTCACTAACTTCCTCCGACTGGATTCTCTCCCACGGCTGCAGCCCTTCCCGAGCTGCTCCGGCGTGGGACTCCCCCGCATGCTGCAATCCTCCCAGCACTGAATTACAGCAGCGGGGCTGCCTTTTCCCACGAGACCCCGGCTTTCTTCGGGCACAGAACCTTGATCAACCAAGCAGGAGCCACAGGCCGTAAATCAATGTCTGCTCCACCGTAGATCTCCATGGGTGGCAGGAGGGGCCGCCCTGCCGTCTCACCACAGGATACAGGGGGGTCTCTGCTCCGGCACACCTCCCCCCTCCTTTCTTCCTCCGTTCCTCCACTGACCTTGGTGTTCACGCAGCTGCAGCAACTCCTCCTCACAAGTCCCACTGCTCATCACCACGTCCCTTCTTAAATACGTTATCGCAGAGGTGCAGCTGATGGGCTCAGTTTTGGGGCAGAGGTGGAGCTGACTTGGAGCTGGGGGAACTTCGAGAAGCTTCTCACAGGGGGCTGCCCCTATAGCCCCCTCCCCTGCCACCAAAAAACCCCACCACTCACTCAGCCCAGGACACTGTTTTACAAGCATGTTTAGCACATGACATCTAGTCCAAACTCAGGCACCAAGATTCTTCCAGCAAATGTGTCAGTGAATTTTGTCAGTGCCCCGGCATAACTCGTGTTACCTGGACACTGTAAAAAGAAGTCAAAGGAAGATGAGCCGAGCCAAACCTCATTGCCAAGTCACTATTAGGGGGGTTTTAAGCCTAATAAAGAAGTATTGAAACTATGTGTGATACAACCCAAATCCTCCATAACAGTAGGGAATCCACAGAGAACAAAGAGGTGAACTCATGCAACAGATACGGCAGTGCATGTTTCTTTTTCATTAGGAAAGCATATTAGTAAACATTAAAGCACTTGGCTAATCATATGAAGCTAAGAACCCCTGACTAGATGCAGGAGAACAAACCTTACAGGCCCTGAAGAAGCAGTCAGTGCTTGGTGGAGTGAGGCCTGGCTGGAACCCACCAAAATTCAGTTCAGGATTTTGATTTGGATCAGGTGCAAAGGAAAGAAGGATTAGTTCATTTCCACAGTTTGCCAAATCAGCTCATGTTCTCCCCCACCATGAGCTCTACCTGACCCTGAGAGTGGAGTGGCATCAACTGCAGCACTGCTCAGCAGAAGCAAAAATCATTAAGCCCGGCCTCTGCATTTTAAGGTGATGTATTCTGGAAGAGACAGACCCCACATCAGGGACTGTTTCTGGTGATGCAAACGACTGCTGGTGAAATTCTGCTTACTAGGATTCCTCTCTATCTATAGCCTAATCCTGGGCAGCAAGAAAGGTGGGAAAAGAAACACCTGAATAGTATCTCCCTCTATCTGGCCTCTGCTGATGAGGCTAATGTTGCACAGCTGCTGAGCCCAGCAGTGCACAGAGAAGCACACAGCCTAATCTCTTTAGGTAGGGTTACTTCTTCCAGTGTGCTGTATTAACAACACTACTGAAAAATAACACTACAGGAAAACACGCTGCTCTAACAGGCTTGAGGAGAAGCAGCGTTCAAGGCAAGGCTCTGTAAATCCATTCTCTTCTCAAACACAGCAGTAAACTCCACTCTCGCCTTAAACTGACATTCATCTTCAGTAGGTGACAAGTTTAACAAGCTCTCTAGAGGTGAAGTGAATGCTTCCTTGTGGTGCAGGGTTTTTTAAGACTCTAATGAAATCTAGGACATAGAGATAACAGGCGTGACATCTCCCTAATTCTTCCTGAGCACTCAGTACATGGATAGGTTTGCAGCTATGAACTTCAGGTATATATTTTTTTATTCTAGATGGTAAGAACTTATTGCTAAGAAATGCTCTAAACTCTTTGAAATGCTTTCAAAAGCCTACATGTTACTAAAAATATGCATAGATATCCATACATACTCTGTTCTCTAGAAGAAAGTATCTTGGAGGAAATAGTTTTAACTTCACAGTTCAGAGGAAAGAGCAATCACTCTTCCTTTGTGCTGGAACTCAAATGCTATGTAATATAAAAATAAATGTCCAAACAAACTCATTAAACCATCAACACAGCAAATGGGAAAAAAAATAAAAAAATAGTTATTGAAAAAGTTTTCCTGAAATTAATGAAGTTGCAACAAGAATTGCTATTACTTCACTACAGTCAGCTCTAATTAACTAGCTCAACGTTTACTGTTTTGAAAACAAGCATGTAATTTGATCGAAGGAATGTTTCTTTTAGTAACTAAAACCAACCAACTACAAACCTTCTGGCAGACCATATGGGGGTTAAATTTTAACCTGATCATGCTGACACAAATGAGGGATTATGTAGGTAGCAATTGCATTCCGAAGAAAAGCATATTTTTGGCTTAGTTGAACATATAAAATTCATTCTTCTTGCTGATTCTTGTAACCAAGGGCAAGTATGAGTCAGTTCTCTTAAAAAGAAGTCCCCAGAAGCAATGGTCCTCAGTATGTCTTCCCAGATTAGCAAGGATGAATGACTGGGCAAATCTACAAAATTGTTTGGTACTGGAAATTTTCTTTTTGGTAAACGGCAAGATTTCAGATAAGGTAGGTAGCCAAAACCCAAGTTCAGATCTAAGAATCTTCAACAGATATACTAAATAAAATTACAAAATATTGCTGCAGTTAACTTGATTTTGAAATAGGACTTCTGTACATAAATATTCTGTATAAAATATCCTACAAATCATTAAGGCACAGAGGTAAATGGGAAATTCAATGCCTACTGCCCACTTAAGCCATTAGAAAGTAGGTATCTAAATGGGATTGTATCTCCCTGGTCCCTAATATTTATGTTATCCTGTATTTGTTTCTCAATCTGATCTTAGCACTAACTGAGCTGAAATTTTGTCTAGTGGTATTCTGGACAAATTTCAGGGAAACATTGACCTGGATGATGACACTGCTCTGTAACTTCATTTATGATGTTAAATGGTTAAGAATTGTAGCAGGGCAGGGGAACTTTAAGTCTGCTTATCCATTTGTCCTAGTTTTGGCTGGGATAGAGTTAATTTTCTTTCTAGTAAGCTGGTACAGTGCTGTATTTTGGATTTAATGTGAGAATAATGTTGATAACACACTGATGTTTTCGTTGTTGCTAGGCAGCACTTATCCTAAGTTAAGGACTTTACAGTTTCCTGTGCTCTGCCAGCAAGAGGGTGCACAAGGAGCTGGGGGGGAGCGTGGCCAGGAGAGCTGACCCCAACTAGCCAAAGGGTTATTCCATATCACAGGGCATCATGACCAGTATATAAATGGGGGAGTTGGCTGCGGAGGGGGGGTTGCTGCTGGGGTACTGGTCAGTGGGTGGTGAGCAACTGCATTGTGCATCACTTGTCTTTTCTTGGGGTTTATTTATCTCTTTTTAAAATTTTATTATTTTTCAATTATTATTCTATTGTTGTTGTTATTGTATTTTATTTTCATTATTAAGCTGTTCTTATCTCAACCCGTGAATTTTTTTTTTTTTTTTTCTGATTCTCCACCCCATCCCACTCACTGGGAGGGGGGAGAAGTGAGTGAGCAGCTGTGCGGTGTTTAGCTGCCAGCTGGGGTTAAACCACGACACCATTTCACGCTCCCCATTATCACCATCATGTCTCAGTAACTGTGGGAACAGGATCAAGGCACTGAAGAGGAATTTGGAGGGGTGTTATCAGCAGGAAGGAAATAGGACAGAGACAGCTTCAGAAACTGGCAACAAACTGTGTGTCCAGCCCAGTGAATGTATGGTGAGCTCCCTTCCAACCCAACCCATTCTATGATGTAAGTTAAAAATATGCAAGCCATCAAAATATCTGAAAACCCACATTCTCGAATCAGGGATGTCACTGAGAGACTACTGAGCCTTGTACAGTCCACTGATTATTATCTGCTGCTGCTATTCCATGTGGGCACCAGTGATACACCCAGGAGCAGTCTGAGGAGTATCAAGAAGGATTACAGAGCCCTGGGAGCAGTGGTAAGCAACTCTGGAGCACAGGTAGTTTTTTCATCAATCCTTCCAGTGAAAGGGAAGGGGTTTGAAAGGGCTGGTCAAATCTGGCAGATCAACAATTGGTTACAGGACTGGTACCACAGCCCGGGGTTCGGCTGCTTAGACCGTGGGAGTGACTTTGAGAAACCTGGTCTGCTGGGGGCTGATGGGGTCCATCTGCCAGAGAAGGGGAAGAACATCTTCACTCATAGGCTTGCTGAGCTGGTGAAAAGGGAGTTAAACTGAAGTTGCTGGGCAAGGGGAAACTCAATCCATCCCACTCCTACCAACTTGATGCCAGTGCCAGCAATAGATGCCCAGAGCCTGAAGAGAGGCCACAGGTCAGCAAGGGAGCACCTGAAGAGCTGCACAAAGGAATTCCAGCCAGTAAGTCAGCTTCATTGGGCGCCCAATTTAAATGCCTCTACACAAGCACACACAACATAGGGAATAAACAAGAGGAGTTAGAGATATGCACATGCCCACAGGGCTACAATCTCGTTGGCATCGAGATAGGGTGGGATGGCTCTTATGAATGCAGTGTTGGAATGGAAGGAAAAGGGAGACTCAGTCACCCAGCATATGAAGAAGGCTGAGGTAATCAATGAAATTTTTCCCTCAGTCTTCACCAGCAAGGGCTGCAGGCACACCACCCAAGTCACAGAAGGTAAAGGCAGGGACTGAGAGAATGAACAACTGCCCAGTACAGGAGAAGATCAGGTTTGAGACCATCCAAAGAGCCTGAAGGTTCACAAACCCATGGGACCTGATGAAGTGGCTAAGCCACTACCCATCATATTTGAGAAGTCGTAGCAGTCCAGTGAAATTTCCGCTGATTGGAAAAGGGGAAACTTAATCCCCATTTTCAAAAATGGAAATAAAGAAGACCCAGGGAAATACAGTCAATCTCACCTATGTGCCCACCAAGATCATGGAGCAGATCCTCCTGGAAAGTCTGCTAGGGCACATGGAAAAGAAGGAGGCGATTAGTGACAGCCAACAAGGCTTCACTAAGGGCAAATTGTGCCTGATGAATTTGATCGCCTTCTACAACTGGGTCACAGCGTTGGTGGATAGGGAAAGAGCAACTGATGTCATCTACCAGGACTTGTGCAAAGCATTTGACACTGTCCCATACAACATCCTTGTCTCTAAATTGGACAGACATGAGTGTGACGGATGGACCACTTGGTGGATAAGGAATTGGCTGGATGGTCTCACTCAGAGTTGTAGTCAACAGCTTGATGTCCAAGTGGAGAGCAGTGACAAGTGGCATTCCTCAGGGGTTGGTCTTGGGACCAGTGCTGTTTTAACATGTTTGTGCGCGACAAGGACAGTGGGTTCAAGTGCACCCTCAGAAAGTTCACTGATGACACTGAGCCATGTGGTGCGGTGACATGATGAAGGGCAGGGATGGCACCCAGAGGGACCTGGGCAGGCTGGAGAGGGGAGTCTGGGAAAACCTCATGAAGTTCAACAAGTCCAAGGGCAAGGTCCTGCCCGTGGGTCGGGGCAATCCCCAGCACAGACCCAGGCTGGGCCCTCGAGGAGCGGCTGGAGAGCAGCCCCAAGGAGAGGGGCTGGGTGTGCTGGTGGGGGGAAAACTGCCCGTGAGGCAGCCCCGTGCGCTGGCAGCCCAGAACCCACCCGTGCCCTGGGCTGCAGCCAGAGCAGGGGGGGCAGCAGGGCCAGGGAGGGGATTCTCCCCCTCTGCTCCGCTCTGGGGAGACCCCCCTGCAGTGCTGGGGCCAGCTCGGGGGCCCCCAACAGCAGAAGGACCCGGAGCTGCTCGAGCGGGGCCAGAGGAGGCCACGGAGATGCTGGGGGGGCTGGAGCAGCTCCCCTGGGGGGCCGGGCTGAGAGAGTTGGGGGGGGTCAGCCTGGAGAAGAGAAGGCTCCGGGGGGACCCTGAGAGTGGCCTCCCAGGGCTTAAAGGGGGGACAGGAGAGGTGGGGGGGGACTCTGGGTCAGGGGGTGTGGGGATGGGACGAGGGGTAATGGTTTTAAACCAAAAGAGGGCAGATGTAGATGAGATAGAAGGAAGAAATTCTCCCTTTTGCCGGGGGTGAGGCGCTGGCCCAGGGTGCCCAGAGCAGCTGTGGCTGCCCCCTCCCTGGAAGGGTTCAAGGCCAGGTTGGACGGGGCTGGGAGCACCCTGGGCTGGGGGAAAGGGGCCCTGCTCGGGGCAGGGGGGTGGGACTGGGTGGGATTTAAGGTCTCTTCCAACCCAAGACATTCTGTGATTCTATGATATGATTCTATGATTCTGAAACCCAATTATTTCATATTTCTAGCTCTGATGTGGCATACACTGGACATGTATTGGACATAATGCTGAACATATGAAGTAAAATCTGTAACTCCATCTCAACTGCTCAGGACTTGTGGTCAGTTTTATACTACAAAAAAAATGTGATTGGGGAAGAATCCAAGATGATCTGTATGGAAGTTACTTCTAAACTAGTTTTCACAGATTGTACAAGCATACAATTCTTACTTGCGCAAGAATCGAGAACTGTCAGGGGAGGCTTGCAGAAAGACTACAGGATAGGGACTAAACGTGTGAACAACTACTAGTACAATGAGAAATACTAATTGACTACAACAGAAACTCTCACAGGGTAAAGCAAAACTTCCTTTGGAGGCAGTGAAGCACAGAAAAGCCAGATGTTCTGATACGATAGTATTAGGCACCTTGAACTCTAGAGATATAGACTGTAAGTACTCTGTTTGTCTACAGTCTTAATCCTATTTGTTCTCTAAAGCATGACATACACAAATTATTCCCAGAAAAGTATTATTCAGTCCTGGGATTAGGATATTCTGTGTGTGGTGTGGAACACAAGGGTGATCCATGCATCAGGCCATGGTGGAGGAAGTGGTTCCTATGTGAAGTAGTCTCAGCCCATATACTGATTGTCACAAGCTTAAACCACATCCTACAAGTATTTTGCTGTACGTATCCTCACAGATGGTGCAGATTTTCTAGAGACCTGATTTTTTGTAGATAAATTTAGTATATCCAAACCCAGCATCTCAATTCTGTATCAAGGAACCATAGGTTTGTGCATTTGTATGCAGTCTTAGTAAGGCCACAACCACAGTAAAACTGAGGTAGGATGCAAGTGACTTCAAGAGGTCAATACAGTCACAAGGGAGTTCAGGTCTTGATGGTGCTTAAGAGAGTTGCTACAACTTCAGCCAATCTTAGGTGTTCTACTATAACCAGGTAAGTTTTTGTCAGAGAAAGAGCCATGAACAGTCATCTTTCCACAATGTATTACTTACTAGTTGGGAAGGATTCCTTTGTTTGATTTCACCCCTAGTAAGGGAAGGCTGCAGTAGCTTTACTACAATCAACTAACATCTGTCCTTCAGCTCAGAGGCTTGAAGTGGAGACATCAAACAGAAATAAAAGATGAAATTAAAATCATTGTAGCAAGATTATGCTAGATCACGCCACCATGTGCTGGAGGGACCACCATAAAACACTTTTACACACCTGAGAAAAACCCAAGACCATCAGGGACCTTCTGACAGTCATGAAGGGTGTCAGCAATGTGCCAAGCACATCTCTCTCAGCACAAATTTTCATTGCAAAGTAAGGCAATAAGGCAGTCGTGTAAGCAAAATACTGAAAGGTGAGTCCTAAATGAACTGAACCAAGAGCTCCAAAGGAGAAGATAATGCTTTTGCCAGTTATCCATCTGATCTTTTTAGTTTCGTAGGAGGATGTGAGAGAAAAAAGGTGATTTAATTTTGTCTTACCTTTCCACTGCATCAGCATTTATATTCTCCTCAGGTGCCAGTTTTGCATAACTCATGGGAAGATTTAGACCCACAACTGGGCCTACAGTACTGAGCCACAATACAATGTAATTTGTGTGTCTAAGAGAAAAAAAAAAAAACAAACAAGCAAACAAAAAAGCACCACAAACATATTATCCCAACATTTTCTGAATTGCAGACACACTTGACAGTCATAAAGTAACTCCAGATGGGAATATTCCTTCACTTTATCTATATCAGATGTATTTTAACTTTCAGCCCTTGGGTGACAATCCAGAATCTTATTCTCTTTGGACCAAAGAAGTTGTTTTGACCATTTCTACTTCCTGGCTGATTTACTTTATCTGCATTGCATAAAGCCTTGCAAGGCACAATAATGTCTCACCTGTTCTGTTTCCGTAAACTGGTCAGTATAGGAGACATGAATTCAATAGTCCTGCAGGGATGAAGAACAAAATATGGCTGCCCAAGTAAAGGGTGCTCCTAAAAGGGAATATCAGTTGTTTTATTATGCAAGAAGAAAACAGAAAAGACACCACATGCATTCAGAAAAGACAAAGCAGAGTCCAATTAATCCTTGATGCAATTCTTCTCATTTCAGAATCTAACCCACATTGCTCTTCTTCTGATAGTCATTGACAAATTATTATTTGAGACCATGTTCTTTTATCTTAAAAGGGAAATAAGATCACAAACAAGGCTATGCCACTGTTTTAGTTAAAATGTAATAGTTTGCAAAAGTAACCCAAGTTACTGTATCAGCATTACCTAAATGCAAGCAGGTAAAGCTACTGTGTAAACAGTACCTAATCAAATGCAATACATAAAACAAATCCGCTCCACAGAAAACTTTTTTAACAACCTTGACACTTTATCCTTCCAAAATGGTGCTGAGAAGTAAATGTGGTTTAATTTGGAGCCTGTAATGGGGAGAAGGAAGAAGAGCCCTCAAGGTGGCTTTAACTTCCACTAGGTGGCACACCCTCATTTTAGGCTATCCTACAGAAAAATGTCCCGGAACAGTTCTTCAAGAAGCCCAGTGAGAACCGTCCAAAGGAAAAGAGAAAAACCATTTGGTGACACTTAAGTTTACAGTCAGACACATTCCCTAGAACCGGGTAAGATACCGTTCGTCTCCACCTTCACACTGCACATGGTGCTGCCGAGAACTCAATCCAGTGCTCCATAAAGCTTTCACTTTCATCTCCAGCCGGCACTTGAACAGAGTACGTGTTCTGACTTAATCAAGCTTGCACTCAGTGCAAAGCCATAACAGTGATCTCATCAGCTCTCACATGGGTGATACCACGAGATCAGCACATCTGACTGTCTCACGCACCATGCCCTAGGGAAGCGATTTTCCTTTAATGCTGCTGAGGTCACTACTAGTACTTCTGCACCAAAATAAACAAATCCTACCTCATCCCCACACGCAAGGGGCACACAGCACAGCAGGGAATGGCTAGAAATGGATTTGAGACAAGAAAGATGTCAAATGTGACATGCCATGATAGCCTGTTCACAGCTGAGCAGACTGTGCTCAGATGCTGCTGAGCCCAGGACTCCACCAGAGCCGAGAAGCACCCAGCGCCGGGCAGCGGGGTGGGGAGAAGCAGGCACGGACCACGATGGAGAAAACAGCAGGATCACCACCTCTGCGTGGCATTCCCCCTTCAGACACCGCAGCCTGGTCCACTGCACCATGCTGCTCACCAGAGCCACAGCAGAGACCGACTATGAGGATTAACATGAGGGGTGTTTTATCCTGGGTGAAGACCCTTTTCCTGAGATGTGCTTCTTGTGGCGGCTCTGTTTCTCGAAAGTGAAGAGGAAACACTGAATTGATGCTCTGACACAGATTTCCCTCGCCCAAGCTGATACAGCTGTAGCCAGACTCCCCTAATTCTGTGATGGCATTTCATCTTAGCATGTAGTAAATTGCCTGCACCTAAGAGAAAATGCTTACAAAGTCTCCCTGCTACACAATAAAAACGTTTTCTCCAACCCCTTGCCTAGAAACAAAAACCAAATTCTAGCCTGTCATGTTCAGCAAATGGGACATGTTCTATATTATTAAATATTAAACAGGGTCTCTTACAGCTGAAGGACACTTGGTTCTTAAACTGAAAATGTACTTGTGACGATTAATCATTTTGTGTCTAAGAGAACTTTTAAAAACTTCTGTAAGCCTCAGAACATACAAAAAATAATGCTCAGAAAGCTTTATTTTACATTGCAGTTGCAGACAGATAACTTGCACAAGAATGCTACCATCTGCTGTTGGTAAAAGTGAACTGATGCTGTTTTCCTTTGAGAAAAAGTGGTAGTTTGTATTAAAATTACTTTCTAATTATCTGCTAGCCTGTATCAGTTTAGTTCTCCAAATAATTCCAGAAAATACACAGACTGTGCCAGTGGTATTCCTCAAAGATAGCAAAAAAAAAAATAGTTAATATTTACAAAACTATTAAGCAACGAAAAAATAAAGAAGATTGGACAGCAATTTCAGCAAACTCCCTTATACAAAGAAAGAGCGTAAAGAGGTAGCACACACTCCCAAAAAGAACAGCGAAGATGATCTGGGCTTTAAGTGAATTAGCATTCTGAAAAAGGCATAAAGATAATTCCCAAAGATGAACATTCAGCCTGAAGTCATTCCCAACCATCCTGTCACCTGGTATTTGATTCTATCATGCATTTCTTGCTTCAGGAAACCACCGGTGAGTGACAAATGGAGGCCAGATTTGTTTTTTTTAAATAGCTTCTTAACTTTACATTGTACATCCTTCTTTCAGTCCTTCGTCTTCTTACAATATGACAGTGACACTGAAAAAAATTCCCAAACTCTAACAATTAGATGCCCTTATGAAAAAGCAGAGTGCATTGCTATTCAGTTTTTCAAAAGAGTAACTTCCTTGGTCCCACCATCTTTGGCATCAAACTTGTGACTTACGAGCATGTGACAGAGGTGAAACCTGTTCACACTCCAAATTCTCTGCAATCTCTCCTCCATTCTTTCTGAGCGGGTGGCAAGGCTCTTACTTTCCCTTAGGATCCAGCAGATGTAAAGGGAGAGGCTTTTGCTACAGGACCCATCCAACAGCTTCTGGGTTGATATGAAGAAACACATGGTCTTGATTATTCAAACCCCCTTCCTAGCTCATCTCCTTGTTCTTCGAATTAACAACGGTTGCCTCCTACACATCCTGAAGTAACAGGTGTGCTAGGGTGGTGTAAATCTCACTGTAATCCACAGAATTTTGAATGGCAACAATGAAATGACTCAGGGTTTAGTGAAACTCATGCTGCTCCTTGGCCAGGCTCTGAGAATGACATGCACTAAAGCTGCATGTCTGCACATCAGGAAGAGGTGCTTTAGTTTCCATTTATCAGGGTATTGTTGAAAAATTAGCACTGTCACTTATTTGTTTACCTCTAATCCAGGAAAATGAAGTTCATTGTTACACAGATCCTTCAGCACTGAAAGTCCACAGACACCATGTCATGCAAAACAGCTGTGTCCAAAGTCAGAATTTTCAGCTTGCTGCATGCATCTTCCTTTCCCTCAACGAAAGGCATGAAAGTGCAAGAATGCCATGCTGTTTATTCAAAACCTTAAAGATAGGGATATGTCACACACTGACAGGAAAACCAGGAAAGCACAAGAGATTGAAAGAAATCCTGAGCCAAGACCCATTAAGCAGAAGCCTCTAAAAAGCGAAAAGACTGAGGCAGGGAAGAGCTGTTGACCATCAGGGAAAACACTCTCAGAGCATCAGATCTGATTCAGTCGCATCCTAAATTCCAAAGCCTGTACCTAAAGGCATTCCCACAAGGCTCCCATGTGAATCCCATGAGGATCCCCATGTAAGAATGAATAAAAGTTTGTGCTGCATCAGCTTCATGAGCATATTTTCTACCTGCTGCAGCCATCTGGCGGAATGATGATATTCCACATGCAGTGAAATGTATCCTGAGGAAAATACTAGGGCAGAAACACTAGCCTTCAGCTAACCTGATCCATGAGCCAGTTAGATGAAAAATCTAAGTCCTACTGGGACTTCACACAAAAAACAAACAAACAAACAAACAAGACTTTAAATAATATAAAAGAGTATTCCCGCTCTTAGTTTACAATTAATCTTTTTCCAATTGGTCATGTAGCAATGCATTTTAGAGAGTAATATGTGAGAGTTTCAAGTTAATTCTCACAATTACTCAATGGCATTGTACAGCAAGAACCTATCTGCAGGTTGCCCACAACTCTTCTGGACAGTAATACAGACACACAGATATTTTTTAAATTAACAGCATTATTTTCTTTTATCTATCTATGAAGCTTATTCATAACACTGTCTGTTCAGCACCATACACCAGAGTCCATCTTACTTTTGCATACCCCTCTGAGTCTGACCCAACTTCCACAGGAAATAAAATTTTTACAGGTAGCAACTAGCTCCACTGAATTTGAAAGCTCGGAATGTTGCTTCATTTATTTTCTGTAGAAAGACCTCTTCACTAGGAGGCTTCAAGAAAGATTTGTAAGGATGTTCTGTACCCATTTCTGTAGCTGATACCTCAACTCCTCCCATACAAAAACCATGCAAGAGATAGATGAATGAAAGGTGTGAAATGTTTCATTGGGTAGTTTGAAATTTAATGTAGTTTTGTTTAGGAATGTTACACAAGACTGAATGTGGCTGCAGCACAACAGCTTACTGTTCATTAGCTGCGCAACCATAACGACCCATGCACAGGTGCTGAGCTGCCTTGGTTGTGAGGTTAAACTGGTGACCTTAAACGTCTTTCATTGAGGTTTATGTTAGACAGTGTGTCTGAGCCCTCGGCAACAACAAAAAATGAATGCTACAGGCTCCCAGAGGTCTGGAAAACATTTCAGTGGAGCACAAGTTTTTTCTCTGTGGTGTAAGAACACATCTTCCCATAAAGTCCATCAGAGACGTGAAGGCTTGATCAACCATCCTTCACCTGTCCTGTCATCACTGACTAATGAAAGTGGACTGTGCCTCACATGGTCATCAAGAGTTAAGATGTAAAAAACTAACTTCACTCCCTGTCCTGTGCAGTGCCTATAGCACAGCGAAATGTTAAGACATGAATCTGAACAGTGGCAAAGACTGGGTAGTGCCTAGGTACAAGTTTAATTAAGTCTAAAACTTCCATCAGATTGGATTATGTCAATTTATCAAGCAGTTCATACAGGAAATACTATCCATGTCAGATTTAAACTAAAAATAAGCATTACTTCAGGTAACGGGTAATTGCCTAGAGGTTTCTGTACTGTGCTCTGCTCTTCGCTTCACCAGCCAGCAGGTATTTTGTTGTCAGTACATCTCTTGTAACAGCACCATTTATTTTCTCTGTCATAACTGGAGCTCTTCCAGTAGTAATGGCTTCTATTTTCTCCATTGCTACATTAAACTGCCTTCGAGCATCCATCATAACATTTATGGTCTCTCCAT